TTTGAAAATGAAAAAATGGCAAAAATTCCAGGGCGAGAAGAGGAATCGAACGTGGGACCTTTTGAGTCAAAAAACCATCGAAAGCCAGGGTAACTATCAAAAGGAACTATCTTTTAAAGAAAAAACGAATGATTGTATTATAGCCGAGTGGCTAAGAGACTGGACTACAAGACAGAAGGTCGCGAGTTCGAATCTTCTAAGAAAGAATTTTTTTTGCCATTTTTTCAGAGATGTTATTTAAAAATACGTTTTTAAAGGATAAGAAAAATACGTGGAAACGTAAAAGCACACGTTGGGGGAGGGGAGAAATAGAAAAAAGAGTCCATATTTGGGAAAATTTTCCCCCTGATGATGTTTGCCCTCCGGGGGATTATTTATAGAGTTTGCGGCGTAATGAGATAGTTTTGAATATTCAGAGACGAGTAATTTTTCATCTCGGGGGTGGTTTCGAAAGAAAAATATACTTTTTACGAAGAATTTTCAAAAAAGGATATTTTTTTTCTTTCAGGTTTTACAAATAGGAACACTATTTGAAGTTCCGAGTAGCTTACCTACTGAAAAAATGGCAAAAAAATAATCCTGGCGTCGAGGGGAGTCGAACCCGCTCTAAAAAAAATCGAAAAAAAATCCAATTTCTCGCTCAAAAAAATAATAAATCTTTCATTATTTAGCCATTTTTTTGCAAAAATTAAAAAAATACTCAATTTTTTTAATTGTTGACGGTAACGACAACATTTTCACGCTTGGACAGGTGGAAATTTTTTTAATTTCCTTGTTTTTTTATTTTTTTGTCTTGTCTTTGAAACAGGGAAATATGCATGAGTAGTTTTTAATTTGGGAAAAATTTTTTTGGGATTGCGACGCAACCGCAACGCTGTCTGAGCCATTCCAAATGCGGTCACGGATTTTTTTAAAATTGGAGTCAAAGCTCTCAATGAAGCTGGGGTCATCAAAATTTGGCTTTTTGAAAAAATGAACTGAAAAAAATTTTTTTTAACTATTTTTTTCATTTTCAAAATCCTTAATTTTTGTTCAAAAATTCAATTTCAAAGCTCTAAATAATCAAAAAAACGTCAAAGCTTCTCCGAAATTCGTTAAATCCAAACTTAATTACCTACAAGTATTTTTTGGGCTTTCCAAAAATTCCTCCTAAACTCATCGGCCATTCACTTCCTCCACTAATAAAGTGAGAAGTAGGGATATTTTTTTTCCTAGACGAATAAATAATCGGAAAAATTTCCCATGAAAAACGGTAGGGAAGAGGGAAAGGCTTTTCGGATGAATTTCCATTTTATGCGCGATTGATGGATTACCCGTGGGGCAGTAGTCATTCAACGCAATAACAACTTCGCTTTTTCATTCCTTTCCGTTTTATTTTAGGTTCAGGGGGTTCGGAAGAGCAAGTTTTGGATAGTATACCTTTGAAAAAAATGGTTCCGAAAGACTTATGAAAAAAATTATGATCGGAAAAAAAATTTGCTTTTTTTAAAATTTTTTTCCTGTTTCTTTCAGATTCAGGGTATTAGAAGAGCAAGTTTTTGGATAATATACCTTTAAAAAAATGGATCTGAAATAATTATAAAAAAATATGATCCTGGAAAATCTTCTTATCTATTCGACCATCAAACAAGGTTCGACTATAGTGTAGTTTGATCAGATAATAAAGGAAAATGAATAAAAAAGAGCGAGGACAAAAAAACCAATACAAATTTTGAATGATAACTTCCGGTCTAGTGGAAAAATGTAGCAGGAATCCCAAAAAATATTTTTTTTTTCGAGATCAAAAATTTCCGCGTCATTTCAAGCACATAATGTGAATCACCGTAAAAAGTAAAAAGAGTGCCTTTTTTTTTGGAATTTGCAACTTTATCGAAGCACGCTTTTTGAAAAGGAGGATAGAAAAGAGATAATTTCGAAACGCCTAAGTTTCAATGGCCTCACTTGGAATGGCTCAATGGTATGGTTTTTCAAGATGCGCCCGACTTCAAACGATTTCCGCACTTTAGTATGGCGGGAAGGGCATCTTCTGACTCGGCTTAGAGTCATTCCAAACGCGACCAAGGCACTACGAAGCCATTCCAAAAGTGACCTAGCCATTCCAAATGCGACCAAGTCATTTTAAATGCCCCCAAACTTTCCAAATGCGACCAAGCCATTCCAAACGCGGCCAAGCCATTCCAAACGCGGCCAAGTCATTCCAAACGCGACCAAATAATTTTAAATGCTATCAAGCCATTCTTAAAAGCAACCAAGCCATTCCAAATGCGACCTAACCGTTCCACATGCGACCAAGCCTCTCTAAACGCGACCAAGCCATTCCAAATGCGACGAAGCCATTCCAAACGCGACCAAATAATTCTAAATGCTATCAAGCCATTCTTAAAAGCAACCAAGCCATTCCAAATGCGACCTAACCGTTCCACATGCGACCAAGCCTCTCTAAACGCGACCAAGCCATTCCAAATGCGACGAAGCCATTCCAAACGCGACCAAATAATTCTAAATGCTATCAAGCCATTCTTAAAAGCAACCAAGCCATTCCAAAAGCGACCAAGCCACTCCAAAAGCGACCAAGCCATTCCAAATGCGACCGAATTATTCTAAATACTATCAAGTCATTCCAAACGCGACCTAGCCAATCCAAACGCGACCTAACCGTTCCAAATGCGACGAAGCCATTCCAAAAGCGACCAAATAATTCTAAATGCTATCAAGCCATTCTTAAAAGCAACCAAGCCATTCCAAATGCGACCAAGCCACTCCAAAAGCGACCAAGCCATTCCAAATGCGACCAAGCCATTGGAAATGCGACCAAGCCATTCCAAATGCGACCAAGTTATTTTAAGTCAAGTTGAATAGAGCATAGTTCAAACTTCACCCTCCTGACGTCTGTACTTTCCCATAATAACTTGGAAAAAAGAACAAACAAAACGAACGAGTAACCCAATAGGAACTTGAAGACGAATGTGCGACATTTGGAAATATTTGGGGACGTCATCGGGAGTCGACAAACTTTTATTCAGTTTCTTCCATCCATCCATCCATCCAAATAGGCGTCGGTCATCCATCAATCGAGATGAATATTCAAAAGTCTCGGGCCCAAATTCAACCTTTCCGTGACTCTCGTTTCGAGTGAATGTTCATGGATCATCCATAATTTCTGCAAAAGCCGACGACTTTCGACCAGTGGACCGTGAAAAATGAACCTGACATTGGTAGGGGAAGCAAGGGCAAGTGCTGGGGGAGCTTTTTGGCTGTTGGTAGGTGGAAAAAGGGTCTTTGGTTCGGGTCCAGTCTAGGTTGAGTAGTTTTTTGCCATTTTCAAAGACGACTTTTCACCAATAAATCGTGAAAAATGAACCTGACATTGATGTAGAGAACTTTTTTGGCGGTTTGAAGGTGGAAAAAGGGTCTTTGGTTCGGGTCCGGACCAGGTCGTGTAGTTTTTTGCCATTTTCAAAGACGACTTTTCACCAATAAATCGTGAAAAATGAACCTGACATTGATGTAGAGAACTTTTTTGGCGGTTCAAAGGTAGAAAAAGGGTTTTTGGTTCGGGTCCAGGCCAGGTCGAGTAGTTTTTTGCCATTTTTAGGGCCGAGTTTTCACCAATAAATTGTGATGAATTAACCTGACATTGATGGGGAAAGTTCTGGGAGAACTTTTTTGGCTTTTGGTAGATATCCAAGGGTCTTTGGTTCGGGTCCGGACCAGGTCGTGTAGTTTTTTGCCATTTTCAAAACTTGACTTTTTAGAGTTTTTGGCGGGTTAACGAGCTAATAATAAGAAAAACACAATTTCAAGTATCTTAAAAAATAAACTGGGAAAAAAGGGTGAAAGCAAGGGCTGAGAGAGCTTTTTTGGCGGTTTAAAGGTAGAAAAAGGGTCTTTGGTTCGGATCCGGATCAGGTCGAGGAGTTTTTTGCCATTTTCAAATTTTGCTTTTTCGAGTTTTTTGAGGGTTAACGAGCTAATAGTAAGAAAAAAATGCAATTTTAGGTATCTTAAAAAAATGTACTGAGGAAAAAAAGGTGTAAGCAAGGGCTGGGAGAGCTTTTTTGGTGGTTTGAAGGTGGAAAAAGGGTCTTTGGTTCGGATCCGGACCAGGTCGAATGGTTTTTTGCCATTTCCAAAACTTGGCTTTTTTGAGTTTCTCGAGGGTTAACGAGCTAATAGCCTTGAAAAAAGAACTGAGAAAAAAAGGGTGAAAGGAAGTGCTGGGATAACTTTTTTGGCGGTTCAAAGGTAGAAAAGGGTCCTTGGTTCGGGTCCAGTCCAGGTCGAGGGATTTTTTGCCATTTTAAGGTCCGACTTTTCACCAATAAATCGTGCTAAATGAACCTGACGTTGGTGGGGAAAGTGCTGGGAAGACTTTTATGGCTTTTGGTAGATAGCAAAAGGGTATTTGGTTCGGATCCCGGCCAGGTCTAGGAGTTTTTTGCCATTTTCGTAATCCTCAAAAATTACCGAAATGGACCATGTGAACGGATTATAAACAATAAAATTCAAAGATAATCCCTTCGAGGTCTTTTATTCACAAAAAAAAAACTAAGAGAAATCGAAAAAGTGTCCTGACAAGAAGGTTCTCAAGTCTAGGCCACGCCCTGCGCCTTTAAACTTTTCAAAAAAGGTAATTCTTAAACTTTACCTGTTCCAGAGATCACACTGGACTCTTTTTGACATTTTCCATCTAATTCATCATCTTTGTCCGTGGAGCACCCTTTCCAAACAAAAAACAACCTTTTCGTGATAAATATTCTTTCTTAGGGCTTAAAACACTGATTGTAGTATTTTTCCGTTGAATCTATTGTTCTTTGCAATTTTTTTCATTAATATCAAAGAAAATATGTGTGAATGAAACACCACAATGACGAGTTGCCACAATAGGATTATCTTTATCTCAAAAAAATGACGATTTGACCTTTTTTCTGCAAGAAAAACGTGCCAATAATCTTTTTTCCCTTCTTGAAAAAGTAAATTTTATTCTCTATCAAAAAAATTCAAGTAGAAATAACGACGATTTCCGAGTATTTCTTGCGGATCCTGAAGCATTGCTGGACCTTTTCGTCGAAAGCCAGTAGGATATAAGGCATCGTCAGGGTGATCTGCAATCTGGACCTTTTTAAAGTGCGGACGTTTCGAAAAGTGAAGATTAAGCTTTCGAGAAGCTTCTAACTTTAAAAATGGTATGCAAAATGCAAGACAACAAACATTTTCAGTCATTTTTTCAACAGAAAAGTTGGAAAAGTCAGTTTTTGGAGATTTTTTTTAGAAATTTTGAAGGCAAGGCAAGGTCAGGGTGATCTGAAGTGGACCTTTTTAAAGTGCGGACGTTTCGAAAAGTGAAGATTAGGCCTTCGAGAAGCTTCTAACTTTAAAAATGGTATGCAAAATGCAAGACAACAAGCATTTTCAGTCATTTTTTCAACAGAAAAGTTGGAAAAGTCCGTTTTTTGAGATTTTTTCCGGAATTTTAAAGGAAAGGCAAGGTTAGGGTGATCTGAAATGAACATTTTTTCAATTCGTAGACTTTGAAAATCAAGGATTAGGATTTTGAGAAGCTTTTAACTTTTAAAATTGTAAGAAAAAAATTCAAGAAAACAAGCATTTTCAGTCTTTTTTTCTCAACAGAAAAAAATTGGAAAAGTCAGTTTTTCTTGGAATTGTTCTATTTTTTTACAAGATGAAAAAAACCAAATTCTGTATTTTTCAACAAAAAAAGAAATGTTTCAAGAGCCTTGAAAATAATCTTACAAATTCAAAAACGTTGATTTTTTAAAGGACCTGTCGAAAGTCTTCATAAAAGCTCGCAAAAATCAAGTTTTTGGAAATTTTTTTTTAGTTTCTTAGTTTTTCTTTTTCTGGATGACTTTATTTTCCCAAAAGGCATATTTCAAATAGTTCAAAATTGAAAAAAAAGATTTTCAAAAATCTGTAAAATGCGGACGTTTTTTTTCTAACAAAAACTAACCATATCCGAAGCAAAAGGGATCACCAATCTGTGAGAATTGATCGAATCTGGATGAAATATAGCGCTCAACCCATGGAAAACCTGAAAAATGACTGTCTCACTGTCTGCGATCTCTTCTCTCTAGGCGATAGCTCTGATGAGAGACAAAGAGAGCCCAGGCAGTCAGAAAAATTCATTCCCTCACCGTATAGAGCAAATTCCCAGAGATTAGAAAACTATTGGCCACGGCGATTTTTACCAGTTTTTTCGTGACGTTTGTAGAGTTGGTATAGCCGACGGCTGGAAAAAAGAGCGGATAGTCAAGTGGCTAAGAGAGTCGGATAAAGGACAGAGGGTCGAGGGATCGATCCCCGAGATCGTTTTCGCCATTTTTACAATTTTTGCGAAATCATACATTTATAGTCCATTCGCCGCGACTTGACAGTTTTCGCGTGTCTGCGCTCTCTGTTCCCTCACCGGCGAGGTCAGAGAAAAATGGAAATAGCATGTAAACATGAGAGGGACGTCGAGAGATAAAGAGGGCGCAGAGAAAAACAGTCGTTTTTTAGTAAGACTGTCAGCCTGTCTGCGCTCTCTGTTCCCTCACCGGCGAGGTCAGAGAAAAATGGAAATAGCATGTAAACATGAGAGGGACGTCGAGAGATAAAGAGGGCGCAGAGAAAAACAGTCGTTTTTTAGTAAGACTGTCAGCCTGTCTGCGCTCTCTGTTCCCTCACCGGCGAGGTCAGAGAAAAATGGAAATAGCATGTAAACATGAGAGGGACGTCGAGAGATAAAGAGGGCGCAGAGAAAAACAGTCGTTTTTTAGTAAGGCTGTCAGCCTGTCTGCGCTCTCTGTTCCCTCACCGGCGAGGTCAGAGAAAAATGAAAATAGCATGTAAACATGAGAGACACAAGGAGGGCGCAGAGAAGCCGCGAAAAACGGACTATATTAATGAATATCCATGGCCAAGAGGTTGAGAGCTATTACGTCACCAAACAGGTCGCTGGATCGACCCCTCTCGACGTTTTTGCAACGTATATTCACAAGCCATTTCATAGTCTAAAAGGTCAAGGGTTCAATCCCCATCGACGCGAGATTTTTTTGCCAAAAACTAGATTCGACAGAACAAGTGAAACGTGAAAAAAAAAAACTCACAGTGAAAATTTTTGCTAACTTTGAGCACCGTCCAAATTCCCACAGTAGATATCATACAAAAATAGATAATCCCGTGGATCAGATTTGAGGTATACAGTAGCCCGACGTTTTTCTGAAGGATTTATCGATTTTTTCCGATTTGATGGGTTCAAATGAACCCCAAAGCCGACGAGTTGATTATTCTGCACCCAAACAACTAATCGAAATCCTAGAAATACGAGGAACCCTTGGACGAATGTACTATAGAGAGCACAACAGAAAGCGATCAGCAGGTAGTATTTGCCCCAGAACTGGAATCGATCGATAAAATCAATATCTTCGAAAAATGAAACCCACCGAGTCCTGAGTGATCATTGTAGTGCAAGTCAATCTGTGTAGGCATAGGAAAAATGAAGACAGACTTTGCATGTGAAGGAACCTTGAAAATTTCCAAAAAAATGACTTTTTGCGTCTCCATAATTTGTATGCAAAGCGGTCGCGATGCGGTTTTTGGCGCCAATTTGAAAATTATCGACTTTGTGGGACATTTTCTCAAGAAATGTCGAAGAGTAATTTTTGATTGTATATGCTTATAATGAATCAGGGAACATGAGTAAAATTCAAAAAAACGCGGGAATTTTGAATTGGCGCCAAAAACGACATTTGAAAAATCAATGCGAAGCGGTCGCGACGCGTTTTTTGGCGCCATTTCAAAAATTATCGGTTTTTCGTCTTTTTTGAATGAAATGAATGTGAATGAATCTAAAACGAGTTAAAAATTCAAAAAACGAGAGAAGTTTGAATTGGCGCCAAAAATGGCATTCGAAAAATCTGTGCGAAGCGGTCGTTTTTTGGCGCCAATTTAAAAATCATCGATTTTTTGAGAATCATCGCTATTTTCTCTGTGATAATCCCAACATGCAAAATTTTTTTTTTTTCGAAAAATGAGGGCTCAAAACTCAAAGACCATTTTGATGGAAATTGAAAGTTTTTTTTTGATTTTGAGGTGACCTTTTTTGGATTCGCGGTTTGAAACATTTAGGGTTTTTTTCTGGTACATCAAGGAGTGTAATGGATAATTTTCAGCGAATTCCCAACCACAAAGTACAATCACCTCTCTTCCAAGAAGAAAAATTCAAAAAACGCGGGGAACTTAAATTGGCGCCAAAACGCACGCAGCCGCGTCGCAACCGACTTCTCAAGTCTTGAAATTAGAAAAACTATGAAAATCCGAAGATTAACTACCGACCAACATGATAACGATGCACTGGTGAATATCAAGCCAGGAAAAAGTCGTTCCAAGGACAATAAAGTCTGCGGACCGAAATATTCGATTTGTAGACGGATGCTTATCCAAGAGTTGACGTAGCACATTATATTCTGAAAATTATGACTTTCTATAGGAATTTTAAAAGTTAAAAATTCCAATAATTGCAGCTTACATGATTTCTGAACTACTAAAAGAAGTGGGAGTGAAAAAATATTTTTTGCAAGAATCTTCTTCTTTTTCTTTTTTTCACTTGAATGTTACTTTTCCTGTTTCAAAACGGAATGAAAAATGGTCAATTTTATGACGTCACACTTCCTGAAATTAGAATGACGTCATTAAAATTAAAAATTATTTCTTTTTTAAAGCCTCTCTGTGATGAAAGGCTACAGTTAAGGATTTAATTTTTGATTTAAAAACAAAATTTCTTTCCAAAAAAAGCTCTTTTTCCCAGTTTCTCATTAAAAAGGGGCTGGAAAACGTTAAAAAAAATTTTTTTTTTTGAAAGTTGAAAAAACCGCTTTTAAATGCCTTGAAAACCCGTTTTTAAATGCCGTCATAAATTTTTAGAATGACGTCAGGAAATTTAAAATTATCACGTCTAATTTTTCCCTTTGAAACTCGAGCTTGTATTCGACTCATACACGAGGTTTATAAAAAAAAACGGCTTCGAAATGACGTCATAACTCTCAAAAATGACGTCACAGTAACAATAATTATGACGCAGGAGGTTTCCTTAACGAAATTTAGCTTTTTCTGGACTCAGTTAAAAATTATAGTTGTAATAGTCTTCGAAATGACGTCAGAAAGCTCAAAAATGACGTCATGAAACTCAAACATGACGTCATGAAACCCAAAAGTGACGTCATGAAACTCAAAAGTGACGTCATTCAATTAAAATCATAAAACAAGCCATACTTTCAAACTCACCACCAAAATGTCGACTTGAACCATTCGATAAAAAGAACTGCGAAAAAATACCGTAGCCGACAGTATACAAAACATAAAAATGAGCAAGATGAAGCTAGGAATACCGTATACCAATTGGACGACAAAAAGAATTGAAGCACCCATTTTTGGTTTTCTTAAAATTGCTGAACCTTGAAAAAGAAGCAGAAAAGTTTGAAGGGGGCTAAATTGCAGATTCGAAAGTTGAGAAGAAAATGATAGGGGAAAAGAGGAGGGTACCTATTTGTTCTATGGTGAGAATAGGCGAACTTTTTGAAACTTACTATTATTTTTCATGGGAAAATACCTTTGACATTGCGGTGAATGGACTCTGGATTATGACATCACTAACTTCAAAGTGACGTCACTAGCTTCAAAATGACGTCACTAGCTTCAAAATGACGTCACTAACTTCGAAATGACGTCACTAACTTCGAAATGACGTCACTAACTTCGAAATGTCGTCATCAACTTCAAAATGACGCCACCTACTTCAAAATGACGTCATCAACTTCAAAATGAGGCCATCAACTTCGAAATGACGTCATCAACTTCAAAATGTCGTCATCAACTTCAAAATGACGTCACTTACCTAAAAACGACGTCATCAGCTTCGAAATGAGGTCATCAACTTCAAAATAACGTCACTAACTTTGAAATGACGTCATCAACTTCAAAATGACGTCACTAACTTCGAAATGACGTCATCAACTTCAAAATAACGTCACTAACTTTGAAATGACGTCATCAACTTCAAAATGACGTCACTAACTTCGAAATGACGTCATCAACTTCAAAATGACGTCACTAACTTCGAAATGACGTCGCTAACCTTATTAGCAGTAATGAACCAAAGAAAAAAACACAAAACTTATAAATATAACATATAACTTATAAATTTTTTTATTTTTTTCAGTTTGAAATAACGACGATTTCCGAGTATTTTTTGCGAATCCTGAAGCATTGCTGGACCTTTTCGTCGAAGGCTAGAAGGATATAAGGCATCGTTAGAGTGATCTGAAATGGACCTTTTTAAAGTGCGGACGCTTTGAAAAAACAGAGACTAGGCATTTGAGAATCTTTTAACTTAAAAAATGGTACGCAAAATTCAAGAAAACAAGCATTTTCAGTCATTTTTTTGATAGAAAGTTGAAAAATGCACGTTTCTCAAACATTTTTTAAAGACTATTCAGGATTTTTCAGAGTAATCGCTTTTTTTTTGAAACTCACCATGTCAGAAACGAAAGGAATGACAAAATTATGCGAATCGGTTGAAGTAGGATAGAAAATTTTCAACAATCCAAGAATAACCTAAAACCAGAATTATCATTGATTTTTCAATTTTTCCTTTACCGTATATAGCAAATTCCCAGATATTAGGAAACTATTGGCGACGGCGATTTTGACCAATTTTCTCGTAACGTGTGTAGAGTTGGTGTAGCCGACGGCTGGAAAAAAGCGGTTAGTCAAGTGGCTAAGAAATTTGAATGAAGTGCAAAAGGTCGTTGGATCGATCCCCGAGACGGTTTTTGCCATTTTTAAAGCTTTTCTATACCTTTTCCCGATTTTTTGGAACGCTTCTCTTTGAAAAAAGTTTACTGTCCCTTATTTTTCGGTCAATAGAGAAAAAAAAAATATACTTTGAAGCCATAATCTGTCAATTTTGAACTTCGAATCACTACTAAAAAGGTCAAAGGTTCGACTCCTACGTGCGAAAAGATATTTTTGCCATTTTTGCAGACCTATTTTCAACAATTTTTCCTCGTTTCTAGTTTAAAGAAGTCACTAAAAACTAGTTCTTCAACATGTTAAAATTTTTTAAAATTATTTTTCAACCTCCTTTTTTTAAACCAAAGGGTCATGGGTTCGATTCCTCTTGATGAATTGGTATTTTTTTGCCATTTTTGCAGACCTTTTTTTCATGATTTTTTTGAATAAAGCTCAAAAAAACAATTTTTCTCTATTCTAGCCTAAAAAAAGCTGCTGAAACTAGAGTTTCAACATGTTTAAAAAGTCGATTTTATCAATTTTGATCTTCTAGTAGAATCAAAAAGGGTCACGGGTTCGATTCCTATGGACGGACGTGAATTTTTGCCATTTTTGCAGACCTTTTTTCATAATTTTTTCTCGTTTCTAGCTTAAAAGAGCTGCTGGAAATAGATTTTAAGGCCGTTAAAAAAAGATTCCATCACATCAAATCTCTTGATAAAACCAAAAGGGTCACAAGTTCGATTCCTCTTGATGAACCGGCATTTTTGCCATTTTTGCAGACCTTTTCCATGATTTTTTCTCGAATAAAGCTCAAAAAAACAATTTTTCTCGTTTCTAGCTCAATAAAGCTGCTAGAAATGTATTTTCAACAATTTTAAAAAGACGATTTTGTCAATTTTGATCTTTTAGTAGAACCAAAAGGGTCAAGGGTTCGATTCCTATTGACGAATTGGTATTTTTGCCATTTTTCCTTCTTTAAATAAAGAAGAAAACTCACTGTGAAAGTTCCGGCTAACTTTGAAAACGGTCGAAATTCCCACAGTCGATATCATGCAGAAATAAAATACTCCATGAATCAAATTTGAAGTATACATGTAGCCAACGTTTTTCTGAAGGATCATATGAATTTCGGGATTTTTTAAAAAGTCAAAAAACCCCAATCCAGACGAGTTGATTGTTCTGCACCCAAACATTCAGTCTGAGGCCTAGAAATACAAGGAATCCCTGGACGAATGTACTATAGAGAGCACAACAGAAAGCGATCAGTAGGTAGTATTTGCCCCAGAACTGGAATCGATCGATAAAATCAATATCTTCGAAAAATGAAACCCACCGAGTCCTGAGTGATCATTGTAGTGCAAGTCAATCTGTGTAGGCATAGGAAAAATGAAGACAGACTTTGCATGTGAAGGAACCTTGAAAAAAGTTATAAAAGTGACTTTTTCAGGACCCGAAAGTTTTTGAAAATTATCGATTTTATGTGATTTTAGAATGAAATTGAGGTGAATGACATGGGGAACACGAGAAAAATAAGAAGAACAGCAGGAAATTTGAAATGGCGCCATAAACGACATGCGAAAAATCTATGCGAAGCGGTCGCGATGCGGTTTTTGGCGCCAATTTGAAAATTATCGATTTTTTGAGGTCTATATCTGTTTCCTCTATTAAAAAGTTTTCTTTGGATGTATCTGATGTGTGAGAGTCAGGGATTGAACTCGGAAAATTTGAATTGGCGCCAAAGTCGGTAATTTAAAATTCGCATGCAAAGCGGTCGCGATGCGTTTTTTGGCGCCAATTTGAAAATTGTCGATTTTAAGGGAATTTTCTGAATAATAGGGCCCGAGAGTCTACGTTGAATGTATCCAATGGAAATAAATCAGTGGATTTTGAATTGAAAACAACGGCGGGAATTCCGAACTGGCGCCAAAACCGCAACGCGACCGCTTCGCCCCCGTTTGAGATCGAGAAAAATGAATTTTCTTTTGAAATTTTTTTTACCAACCAACTGGATAACGATGCGGTTGTGAAGATCAAACCGGGAAACAATCTTTCCAAGGTGAAAAGGATTTCCGAACCGAAAGTTTCCAGTTTCAGACGGATACTTATCCAAGAGTTGAGGTAGCACAGTATATTCTGAATTTCTAAATTTCATACTTCATGAATCTAGATATTTTTTTCAAATTATCCGAATTTCAAAATTTTCCGGAAAATGGACATAAACTTCTCTTATCGCTATAGCTACAGTCATTTTTGCGAATATACATGATTTTTTAACTATTTTTTTGTCTTCTCCATCTTTCATTTCAAATTTGCTCATGTGGCTTGAGGGAATCATTTTTATATTATGACGTCATAACCCTTCGAAACGACGTCACTAAATCCGGAAATTGAGGCGTAAATATCGGTTGAAAATAGGTTCTGAAATGACGTCATAACTTTCTAAAATGACGTCAGAAAGTCTAAAATCAAGACGCGTATTTTTTTTTTCTTGAGCTTTCCCTGGACTCATTAATGAATTTATTTGTGTAAAATCTTTGCTATCACGTCATGAAGTTCTAAAATGACGTCAGAATATTCGAATATTTTTAAGCATTTGGTTCAAGTTCGAAAATCGGGCTTTTTCTGGGACTTATTTATTATTTTTAATGGAAAAAATACTTTCCAATGACGTCATAGGTGTCAAAATGACATCATAAAATTCAAAATTCTAACACGAGCCGTCTTTTCCTGAATGATAAGACAAAAAAGGCTTCGCAATGACGTCATAACTCTCGAAAATGACGTCACAAAAAAAAATAATTATGGCGCGTCCAGTTTCCTTTACGAAATTGAGCTTCAGTCATAAATTACAGTTGAAAAAAAGGCTTTAAAATGACGTCATGAAACTCAAAAATGACGTCAGCAGACTCAAAAATGACGTCATAAATCTCGAAAATGACGTCATTCAATTAAAATCCCAACACGAGCCGTCTTTCCCAACTCACCACCAAAATGTCGACTTGAACCATTCGATAAAAAGAACTCCGAAAAAATACCGTAGCCGACAGTATACAAAACATAAAAATGAGCAAGATGAAGCTCGGAATACCGTATACCAATTGGACGACAAAAAGTATTGAAGCACCCATTTTTTTCAGAATAAAATATGTGTCGATTTGCTAGGCTTGAGAGAAAGTGGCTGGGAGTTGAGATTGTGAGGGTAATGATAGGGCAAAAGGAGGGCTACCTCCATGATGTGCCGGGCCGAAGATATGGAGCCTAGTCTTTGGACTTTGTAGTCAATTATTGAAAGGAATGAAGCTCATTTGAAAAAATTCTAAAAAATATTTATTAATAAAGAAAAGAGACCGGTAAAACGATACAACAAGTGAAAAAACCCGACAACAAGTATTTTAGGTACGCCAGAGGGGTCCCTTTAGGGGTTGGTGGAAAAACAGTCCCTATAGTGCCCCCTACAGAGGTAAAAATGGGCTGGTCTACGAGGACTGAGGGTCTAACCCCGCAAGCCCCTAAAGTGGCCCCTATAGGGTTCTTTCATTTTTCGTTCAGACTTGAAGACTAAAAAAACGTATAGAGTCCATGCTCCCCTAAAGAGGTCCCTAACTAAAATACCCCTAGAGTGGAAGCTTCGTTGCCCCTGTAGGGACCACTCTGGAGACGAAAAAAAATTCTATAGAAAATTTATTAAAAAGAGAAAAACCCGGTAAAACGATACAACAAGTGAAAAAACCCGACAACAAGTATCTTAGGTACGCCAGAGTGGTCCCTATAGGGGTTAGGGGTAAAAAGCCTCCTAAGGGGTTGAATAAGTGGTCTCTATAGGGTTCTTTCATTTTTCGTTCAGACTTGAAGAGTAAAAGCGTATAGAGCCCATGCTCCCCTAAAGAGGTCACTAACTAAAATACCCCTAGAGTGGAAGCTTCGTTGCCCCTAAAGGGACCACTCTGGAAAAGAAAAAATTCTAGAAATCACAACACGAACATTTGTAGCTACCATCCTTCAAATCGAGGAAAACCCTCAAATTTCTCGGCAAAATATATTCCAAATATTTGGCCGAATAATTGGCTTCGACGATTTCTGCGGCCATGTCTTTCAGGGAGATGAACTTGCCTGAAATCATTTTTGAAAATTCGGTTTTTTTGCTAAAAACTATGGTTCTTGAGCAGAAAATAAAGCCATTATGTGACGTCATCAGATTGAAGTTTTCTAGTTTTCAATTTTCCAAAGCTTTTTTCTCAACCTCTGGAAGGATTCATTTATGAATTATAGTTGAAAAACTACTTTGGAATGACGTCATGAAACTCAGAAATGACGTTAGAAATTTGGAATGTAAATGACGTCAGAAATCTCAAAAATGGCGTCAAAGATGTAGAATGTAAATGACGTCATAACTCTTTAAAATGACGTCATAACTCTCTAAATTGACGTCATAACTCTCTAAAAGGACGTCATAATTGTAGAATGTAAATGACGTCATAACCCTCTAAAATGACGTCATAACTTTCAAAAATGACGTCAAAAATCTAGAATGTAAATGACGTCATAACTCTCTGAAACGACGTCATCACTCTCAAAAATGACGTCATGGCTCTCTAAAATGACGTCATAACTCTTTAAAATGACGTCATAACTCTTTAAAATGACGTCATAACTCTCCAAAATGACGTCATAACTCTCCAAAATGTCGTCATAACTCTCTAAATTGACGTCATAACTCTCTAAAAGGACGTCAGAAATGTAGAAAGTAAATGACGTCATAGCTATTTAAAATGACGTCAGAAATTTGGAATGTGAATGACGTCAAAAATCTAGAATGTAAATGACGTCATAACTCTCTGAAACGACGCCATCACTCTCAAAAATGACGTCATGACTCTCTAAAATGACGTCAGAAATATCGGATTGCTGGAGATTCAACCTTCAGGGCACATTATTTTATTCCCTGTAGGGACCACTCAGGCGTATGTCAATGGGAAACTGACCCAAAACGATGGGGTCCTTGTACTTGTGCTTTTTCTGGGCGTTTTGCAACGAATCGAAAACCCGGCAGTCATCTGAATCGCGAATGAAAAGCCGTGATCCGGCGTGGATCAGCTCGCGGACCGGGTCGCACCAACTAGAACAACGAGATCAAAAAATTGAAACGACCAAGTTCTCAACTCATAGGGCGACTCTCCATCAAAGTAGTAATTCTCCGAGTTGACGCTGAAACGGTCGAAAGTCAGGGCCGTCAGAGGGGTTTGCTCTTCCCAGTGTTTGCCGTGGATGTTCGCCCCGGCGTTCACGAAAAGTGAAAACAGTCGCTGATCCCTAAAGTGGCTTCTTTTTGAATAAAAGAAGAAAAGTCTAAGAATGTTGATTTAGTTTTTAAGATTTTGATAATCAACTGAAAATGTGCCTTTCTTCAACCCCCCCAACTCCAATAAAAAACTATCTAAAAACTGAAAAAAAATAGAAAATTATTCGCTGGTCCCTGAAGTGGCCTCTTCTTGAATAAAACAAGAATTAACTTGTCTGAGATGTAGTTTGGAGCCTTCTGACCCAAATAAACAAATATTTTTCTCAGAATTTTGCCTTTTTGTCGTGAAATGGCTAACAAAAATCGAAAACAGTCGCTGAACCCTAAAGTGACAACTTTTTGGATGAAACAAAGACAAAGACAAAGACAAAGAACAAATAAGACTTGTTTTGAATGTGGTTTAGAGCATCCTGACCCACATAAAAAATTTTTTCTTCAAAATTTTGCATTCCAGTCGAGTCATGGCTCACAAAAATCGCAACCAGTGTCCCTAAAGTGACAACTTACTGAATATAACAAAAAAATAATCAAGGAATGGGAAATTAATTTTTTTAAGATTTTTGATAATCAAGTGAAAATGAGCTTTTTTAAAAAAAAAACTCCTGACTCCAATAAAAAACTATCTAAAAACTGAAAAAAATAGAAAATTATTCGCTGGTCCCTGAAGTGGCCTCTTCTTGAATAAAAAAAAGGATTATCTTGGCTCAGATGTAGTTCAGAGCATCCTAACCCAAAAAAAAATATTTTTTATCAGAAGTTTTCATTTTGCTCAAGTCATGGCTCACGAAAGTTGTATCCAGTCGCTGAACCCTAAAGTGGCCTCTTTCTGCATAAAACAAGGAATATCTTGGCATAGACGTAGTTTAGAGCGTCCTTACACATAGAAAAATTCTTTTTTTCAGAAGTTTCAATTTTAGTCGAGTCATGGCTCATAAAAAAATCGAAAAACAGTCGCTGATCCCTAAAGTGGCCTCTTTTTTGAATAAAAAAAGATATATCCTGGCTTAGGTGTAGATTAAAGCATCCTGACCCAAATAAACATATATTTTTCTTTAGAATTTTTTTATTTCAGTCGAGTCAAGGCTCACAAAAAAATGTAGTAGCTTATCCCTAAAGTTGCCTCTTTTTTTGAATAAAAATAAGGAAAATCTAAGAATGAGGAGTTAAATTTTGAGATTTTTGATAATTAACTTAAAATGAGCTTTTCAACCCCCCCCGACTCCAATAAAAAAACCATCTGAAAGCTGAAAAAGTAGAAAGTTAATCGCTTATCCCTAAAGTGACCTCTTTGAGAATATTACAAGGATTATCTTGGCTTAGATGCCCTTTAGAGCAACCAAACTCTAAAAAACTCGACTAAATAAGATTGGAAAAAAATACTCTCCAGTTGATTTCATAGTGCTTCGAGATACGTTTCAGCCACGTCTCATAATATTCTCAGATTGTGATTTTTTTCAATAAAGTGGTTGCATACTTCTTCATTACCTCAAAAAAAAATAATATTTTTTTATAAAAAAACTGAATATTTCGTTGTTTTTCTTGATCTAAAAAAATGAAGTTCAAGTCTTTGAAAAAATTTTTTTGGACAAACGGAGGAATTTTCGAGGGGTCCCTTTAGGATTTTGTTGTTTTGAGGACCTTTATAGAGATTGATTTTTCGAATCCTCTGAAAATGAAATTCCTAGTGACCCCTATAGTGCTTTCCGAGCGGTCTATTAAAACCATAACGCTTTAATTTCCACTAAAGGGACCACTTCAAAGTTTCTCAGTAGAGCATACTTTCCCTATAGCAGCTTCTTTCAAGCACCCGCGCTCAAGTAGTTTCAAGTCGGCTGAATTTCAAACCGACCGCTTCGCAGCCGCTACGCGTCTAGCCATTCTACGTGCGGTCGAATTTTAGAGAATAATATCAAGCTTCAGAAAAACCCCCATGTTTCCTTTTTTCAAATAATGAAGTGACATTTACGGAGCTACAAAATCTTACAAAATTAAGAAAAAAGGACATAAATTTACAAAAACTGAAAAATACCCGATGAATGCTTTCGAATGCAAAAGAGGGATGTGCAATAAATCGGCGACATCAATAAAACGCGGCAACTGAAAATATTTAAATCAAATACTCCGTAAAAAGTCAATTTTACATCGATACCCAAACGTTTCCGTTCACGCTCGTCCTCCATATCGTGAAAGCCGTAAATCTAAAAATTCGACTTACGGTCAGAAAAAAAAATTCTCATATGGAGCCCAATCTTCTTGAAATTCGAAAACCGGGCTTCTTCTGGAATACTTTAAAGCCCATTCTGAGTCTTTTCACGATTTTTCTTTTCCTTCGAGCTACAGAACCCTTCCGGGAAGCTTCCCTGCGATACGCGCAGCCCGTCTCTTTGCATGCGCCTTTAATAAGGCCAAAAGTTTTGTCATATTAAAGGCGCATAGAGAAAGACAGGCCAAAAGCTTCCCGCGGAGCCTGTCTCTGTGCATGCGCCTTTAATTTAGCCGAACATTTCCGTCTTATTAAAGGCGCATGCAAAAAGACCGGCGAAAAGCTTCCCGCGCGCGGCTCGTCTATGTGCATGCGCCTTTAATAAGGCCAAAAGTTTTGTCATATTAAAGGCGCATAGAGAAAGACAGGCCAAAAGCTTTCTCTCAATGCGCGTGGCCCGTCTCTGTGCATGCGCCTTTAATTAGGCCCAAAGTCCTTGTCATATTAAAGGCGCATACAGAAAGACAGGCCAAAAGCTTCCCGCGCGGCCTGTCTCTCTGCATGCGCCTCTAATAAGGCCAAAAGTTTTGTCATATTAAAGGCGCATAGAGAAAGACAGGCCAAAAGCTTCCCGCGGAGCCTGTCTCTGTGCATGCGCCTTTAATTTAGCCGAACATTTCCGTCTTATTAAAGGCGCATGCAAAAAGACCGGCGAAAAGCTTCCCGCGCGCGGCTCGTCTATGTGCATGCGCCTTTAATAAGGCCAAAAGTTTTGTCATATTAAAGGCGCATAGAGAAAGACAGGCCAAAAGCTTTCTCTCAATGCGCGTGGCCCGTCTCTGTGCATGCGCCTTTAATTAGGCCCAAAGTCCTTGTCATATTAAAGGCGCATACAGAAAGACAGGCCAAAAGCTTCCCGCGCGGCCTGTCTCTCTGCATGCGCCTCTAATAAGGCCAAAAGTTTTGTCATATTAAAGGCACATACAAAAGAAGAAGAAAAAAAATTTTGGCGACGGTACGCGCGGTCCGTTATTTGCATGCGCCTTTAATTAGGCCCAAAGTGGCTGTCCTATTAAAGGCGCATACAAAATAATAGGCGAAAAGCTTCACGCGCGGTCCGTCCCTGTGCATACGCCTATAATTTAGCCTAATACTACCGTCATATTAAAGGCGCATACAAAAAGACAGGCTAAAAGCTTCCCGCGCGGCCTGTCTCTCTGTATGCGTCTTTAATAAGGCAAAAAGTTTTGTCTTATTAAAGGCGCATACAACAGGAAAAAAAAATCTTCGCGTCGATACGCGCGGCCTGTCTCTCTGCATGCGCCTTCAATTCAGCCTAAAATTTCCGCCTTATTAAAGGCGCATGCCCACAGACAGGCCACGCGTCTCGAAGGGAAGAGTCTTGTAGCTCGGAAATCGTGACAAGTTGGCGCGGAATGAGCTATACCACTGTTTAAAAAAACTATCATCAGAAAGTTACAGAGCTCCATACGAGAACGTTGTGATTGGAAAAGAATACTTTCTTCTCGGGCTATTTCTGGGAAGGTAATCGGAAGAAGGTGAGTGGGAGCTATAACTGATTCACGGCCAGCTTGGGACGCTCAGGGGGCGTGTCCTGTCTGCGCTCTCCACGAGCCAGGCGCTATCTCATGCATTATCGTGTCAGGACCATTTTTTCGATGGCTCAAGCCAGCCGTGAATCAGCTATAGAAGGTCCTTGGAAGGTAAAAAATTGAAAAATTCGCGGGAAGCCTTCCAGCAGGTTGCTGGCAGGCTGCTGAGGGCTATCTTCCAGGCACCTTCCCAGGAATCGCCTGAGTCGTATCTTGAAGAAAAAAAAACCATGGAGATGAGTTCGACGGCTGTGTTCGTGATTCTCAAGGCCCCCATTCCGCTCCGCTCTCCCTTCTCTTTGTAACACTGAAGTGAGGGAATACAGTAGAAAAAAACATCAAAGGAGACTAATTTTTCTTCTGGGATGCTACTGAACACTGACCGGAATGCTAAAGAGCATATTTTCCGTTTTCAAGAAAAAATTTCGGATTTTATTAAAGTTTTAACGGTTTTAATGCACCTAATCTCGATTATTCCTTCAGAGAAACTAACTTTCTCCAGAACATTGTGGATCTGGTGGAAGACGTGTGTCGCAAGCTCGACCATTCCACTATGATCTTTCTCGATATCAGCCTCATGAGGAAAAAATGAGTTGAGATAGTCGTCCTCCTGCGCGAGAACATCATAAAGAAGATCGATCATGTTTTTGAAAGGTTCCGAGAGCGGTTCAGGGTATCTGAAAGGAACAAGGTGTCCAGGGAATCATACACCGGCTGGATCCCATCTCAGCCTTTTTGCGCGCAAAGAAATTTTTAAAAAAATTTAATTTTTGAGAGGTAGGCCGCACTTTTTCGGGGGGTAGGCCGCAGTTTGGGGGTGGTAGGCCGCTCTCCGGGGTGGGATCTAGCCGACGTATGCAGGGAATTGAAGAATCTTCAAGAACACTTCACCAACCCCTATAGGGGCTACTAAATTTTGCAAAAGTGGTCCCTATAGGGGGCATGATAATCAATAATTCTTAAGAGCTCTATGAGAAAAAGCATTTCCATGCGAAAAAAATAAGCTTTTTTGAATAAAATTGCACGACCCCTATAGGGACCACTCAAGCTTTAGAGAGCAAGGGACCAGACGCTGAACCCCCTAGGGACCACTTTTTGGCCCTTAACCCCTATAGGGACCACTCTAAAATTCCTAAGAACAGCGCGTTTTTTTTCAAACATGTCTTTCACTTCATTTTTTTTAAATGGACTTAGGAGCTCCAGAGTGGTCCCTTTAGGGGCAAGCTGAGGGTCCTTGAAGGTTTTTCTCTAGGGCTTGCAAAAGTGGCCCCTATAGTGATTTTAGTTAGTAGAAGAATTCTCACGGAAAAAAAAAAATAAGATAGTGTTTTTTGAAAGAAAAATATCAACAGATGATTTCTCGATCAAGTTTGATTAAATTTATAAAATTCACTATAGGGGTCCCTTAAATTTTCTTCAATAGAGTCTAATTTTTCGTCCTGACCGTTAGTACAAGAAAAGGGAACTTTTAGGCTAGTTACTGTGAAGCTCCGCCCCCTTACTGGGTTACGGTAGGTCTCCTAGTTTACGAATCGACTTTTTTAAAACACAGAGGACGGTATTTTAAAGCTTTTCCAATGGAAAGATTAAGAAAAAAAAATTTTTTTTTTCCATCTTTGGGGTTTTCGAGAGGTTTCAAGTAGTCATCTGAAATAATCTTTCTACATGTTTCTTTCCCAAGACCTCATCAAAAAAGTAACCTTTCAAAGAGAGAAAGCGTGTAGCAGTAGATCGCCTTGTCCCTTCAAAATAAGATATTCGATGTTTCTTGTTTTCAAATCTACCGGAATTGGTAATTTTCTGAGGCCAGGTGTTTTCCCAGGTAGTTATACAAAGCGTCCCGAACCCTGTGATGACCCTGACCGAGGATCCTCTCACGGATGATGAAGCACTGAATCAGAGTTTGAAACGGTAATTTTTCATTTTTTTTTAATTCCATAATTTTTACGTTGCCTTTGATGAACCAAAAAGAAGATGAAAAAAAGAAAAAACAGAATTTTCAAAAAAATTTTCTTCGAAACTCGAGAAAATTGTTTAACTTTCCCATCACCACGTTTGAAAAAATTTCATTTCGAAACAATTTTCCTCAAAATATCCTTTTTAAAGAGAGATAGAGACCCTCTAAACTTCAGTTGAAACAGTCTGACCTGCCTGCGCTCTCTACTCTCTAACCTCAGAGGTTTTAAAGGTGTGCAGACAGGACGTAAAAAAGAGAGAGCACAGAGAAATAAAACTGATTTCGGAGCGAATGAATGGTCTCTATAGGAGCTTTTTTGAGGTTCCCCTCAAGGGACCACTTCACCTCCCCTTTAGGGGCACAATAGCTCGGGAACATGGATTTATTTGAACAGGTGTTACCAAATTCTTTTTGATTCTCAAATCCGAACAAAAAATTAGAAAACCCCTATAGGGACCACTTAAGCTTTAGAAGCTTTAACTTAACCCCTATAGGGACCACTTGAGCTTCAGTGACTTCAAGGGATCAGAGCCTAAACCCCTATAGGGACCACTCAAGCTTCAGAAGCTGCAGGGGATCATAACCTAAGTCCCTATAAGGACCACTTAAGCTTTAGAAGCTTTAAGGGATCTGAACCTAAACCCCTATAGGCACCACTTAAGCTTCAGGCATAGCTCAGCTGGAATAACTCATTTCTAACGTCCGCAAGGTCGTAGGTTCGAGTCCCCCCGAGGTCGACCAAGCCTTTCATCCCTCCGGGGTAGATAAAATTGGGAGCTGCATGCAGCGAAAAGGCTCAACCTCTGCCATCGGCCTTTGGAAAGCCGGCAGCGTACTTCTTCCTACGACCTCTCTTGTACCTGATGTTCTACGAGCGAAATTCACAACTTCTCTGCCTGAGCCACAGCTCCTGCCGCCGTTTAAACACAGTTATAATCAATGAAAGTCGATTGCACATGTATTCTTACATTGAAGATGCAATAAACAGTTTTTTTTTAACAGTTTTAAGCTTCAGGGGCCTTATCATCATCATCATCATTTATTCAATACGAATAATAATACAGTTCAAGGGCCGAAAAAGACCTCTAACAGAACCAATTTTTTTAAAAAAAGGGAAATTTAAACATTGAAAAACAGCAACAAACCGTTTAAAAAGTTAGAAGATATTTTTGAGAAAGTCAGCCAGAAGATCGGGGTTGTTTTTCTAAATAGATTTTTGAATCGCATAGAATCATTACATAGATCAAATACAACATCGGGAAGGGAGTTCCAAACATTAATTATTCTGATACTAAAAAACGAGGCAACGATGTTACTATTATGTCTTATATTTGAACGTAAATAATAGCGATGGCGACGCAGCGCACGGACACGGGGGAAAAAAAGAAGAGACTATCGAAATTCAATGGGGACTTCTCTAAGTACAATTTTATAAACAAGAGACATGTCAAAGATGAGGCGTCTTGTCTCAAGAGTTTTGAGACTATTTTTCAGATAAACAAGTGAAATAAGAGTGGTAGGGAAAGCCACAACGATGGTAAGCTCGGAAAAGGAAACTTTTTCTGAACACCTTCAATCAAACAAATATTGTGAGAGTCAATTGGAGCATAGACTACAGAACAATAATCAATAATAGGACGAATATACACTTCAAAGCATTTTTAAATACAATGAAAGCTCAGTGGATCGAAACACGTTAAACATAACATTTATGCGACATTTACACCGTCTGCAGATTTCAGATATATGATCATTGAACTTAAGGTTATTTGAGAAAACTACACCAAGATCTCGAACTGAAAGTTTAGGCTGTAAAGCCATGTTTGAAATTTTATAAGAAATATTTGGGTTACGTTTTCCGAAATGAATAGAATAGCATTTAGTTGGAGCTATAGCCATTTGCCATGTTGAACACCAGTTTTGAAGTAATTTGAGGTCTTCTTCGATGACAGTAGAACTAGAGGTTTTTGTGAGCGAAGAAAAAATTTTTAAATCGTCAGCATAGAGAAGGGGCGCAGAGCGAAAGTTATCCGTAATGTCGTTAATAAAAAGTAGAAACAGAAGTGGTCCGATGACCGACCCCTGGGGTACGCCGGAGAGTACAGGAGCGGGGTCGGAAAGTACTCCAGAAAGAGAAACACACTGCACACGATTAGTCAAGTAGGATTCGATCCAGCCAAGAAGAGGACCACAAATGCCGTAAAATTGAAGCTTGTAAACAAGTTTAGCATGAGAGACAGTATCAAAAGCCTTGCAGAAGTCAATATAGATAGCGTCCGTGCAAAGGTTACTGTTTGCATTTTCAAAAAGATTTGCACAATATTTAATTAGTTGAATAGACGTGTTATATTTAGGGCGGAATCCAAATTGGTTAGAGTTTAACAAAGAGTTAGAGTTGAGAAAAACGCTGAAATCATGCACAACTATTTTTTCAAGACATTTGCAAACTGAACTGGTTAAACTAATTGGACGGTAATTTGAAGGGTCAGATCTACTTCCTTTTTTGTGTAAGGGTTTGATAATGGCTTTTTTCCAAACAGATGGAATTTGACCAGATCGGAGAGAGGCGTTAAAAATAATAGAAAGAGGATAGGCGAGAGATGTGGAACAGTTTTTGAGCAAAATGGAGGGGATTTCATCCGGAGTAGTGTTACATTTAGAGGGCATTCTACGAAGAAAAGCTTCTATTCTGTGCGCTGGGAGATCTATGACAGATAAACGGTTAGATGTTTTAGAAACACATGGCGGAGTTTTTCCGTCATCGATTGTGAAAAATGAATGAAATTTTGTAGATAAGAGGTTAGCTTTAGCGAAGTTGCAGGTAAGTGCCTCTCCATCAGAGGTTTTTAGAACGTTGATATCATCCTCAGATTGACCACTCAGAAGTTTGGCATGGGGATCTGAACCTAAACCCCTATAGGGGCCACTTGAGTTTCAAGGGCCTGGTTAGTGGAACAAAACATAAACCTCTATAGGAACCGCTTGAGCTTCTGAGGCTTTGGGGGATCTGAACCTATACTTCTATAGGGACCCCTCAAGCTTTAAGTGCGTTAGGGATGAGAATCTTTACCCTATAGAGGCCACTTAAGCTTTAGGGACCTTTGCCCCTACAGGGACCATTTTTTTGTCCCCTATTGGGTTGTTTTCTCATTCTTATAGGGACCACTCTGGCGTGTTTAAAAAGACGACGATCAAGATTCGATATTTTTCACTTAAATATGGCCAAAATCCGTATTTTCTACAATTTTTTTCTTATTTTTTTCTTATAGTACTCACCTGCATGAACTTGAACCTCTCATTTCCATCTTTAAAGTCGTTGAAAGACTGAATTTCACGAAGGGAGTCGTAAGCCGGGTTCAAAGCCACTTCTTCCTACAAAAAATTGATCAAAGTCCCTTTTTTGGCAAAATTCGAACTTCATTTCGAACTGGAGGTACCGCAAAAGCTTCTTTGAAATCATCCACGGCCGAAAAATTGTCGCCCTCCAAAAATTCCTCGGTAGCCATGAGTAACATGGCGTCTCTCTTTGTTTTCGGGTCCTCGACGTGCTCGTACAAACAGCGGAAAAGATCCTTCAGATAAATTTTTTCAGTTTTTTTCTTCTATGCGCAGATCTACCGTAGTAAACTTTGGCGGGAAAGAAAATGTGGAAGAGGGGCCGCAAAAGGGCCGCAAAAAGGCAGCAAAAATGCCGCAAAAGGGCCGCAAAAGGGCCGCAAAAAGGCAGCAAAAAGGCTGCAAAAAGGCAGGAAAAAGGCAGCAAAAAGGCCGCAAAAAGGGTCCCTTTATCGAGCTTTCCATTTTTTCTGGGATTTTAAAGGCTCAAGGAATGATAAAAATAAGGAGAGGCCAAAAATGCTGCATAAGGGTTGAAAAAATGGCGCAAAAAGGCAGCAAAAAAAGAAAATTTCTATGCAACCCTTTTCAACCCTTAACGGGGAAATTGTAGGATCTCCAGAGTGGTCCCTGTAGTGGCAAGCTTTCTCCTAACCCCTATAGGGACCACTCTGTCGTTTCTAAGGCTTTTTAACATTGTTCATTCAACTAGAGGAACAAGGAACCGCCCAAAACTGTTGTTCGCGTTTGAATTTCCCGCCAAAAGCCGCGTCGCGACCGCAACAAGCTACTACAGTAACCCTCCCATAGATAGAAGAGGGAAAATTGTAACTTAGGAACTCCAGAGTGGTCCCTATAGTGGCAAGCATTCTCCTAACCCCTATAGGGAGCACTCTGTCGTTTCTAAGACTTTCTAACATTGTTAATTCAACTGAAAGAACAAGAAAGCAGCAAAAAGTTTGAATTCATAATTTCCCGCCAAAAGCCGCGTCGCGACCGCAACAAGCTACTACAGTACACCTGCGTTCATCGTCTTTCAACTGAGCAATCAAAAACTCGCTTCATCCTCTTTCACAGCAACCGTGAAAAGCGGATTCTCATTGTTACTGTCGCAGGTGACGTTTGCGCCGTCGAAAAGGAGACACCTCATGAAATAGAGATTTTTAGACTCCACGGCGTAATGGAGCGCTGTCTTTCCTAAAGTAATTTTTGAGAGACCTTAAGGACGCCAGAGTGATCCCTATAGGGGTTAGGGGACCTCCTTCCTCAAGAGTTGAAATTTCGAATGTCCCTATAGGGGTTTAAACTGGAACTCCTGAGCTTCTGAAGCTCAAGGGGGCCCTGTAGGGGGAGGTAAAGCGGCCCTTGAAGGGAATCCTTGAATAGCCCCTATAATTGTCCCTATAGGGACCACTCTGGCATTCAAAAGGCGCGAATCCTAAACGCAAATATTACTCTAGAAGACACGGAGAGTCTTAAAAAAACCTTAAAAATAATGATTTTTTTACCTTAAAACTGAAAAATTATTGCTGAAAACTGAAGAAAAAAAGATGCTCTCTAAAACACGCCCCAAAAAGACGCTCTGACGCACAACAGCCTTTTTTCAAGCATCAGAAAAATTTTATTCAAATTTTCGATTTTAAAGAATAATTTGACACGTTTTGAACTGCCTGACCTGTCTGCGCCCTCTTCCCTCTAATCTAAGAAGTCAGAGAAACTTGAAAATATCACCTATAGGCGAGACAAGGACCCTAGACCCCTATAGGGACCACTTTTTCGGCTCTTATACGATTAAAGAACCCTAAACCCCTATAGGGACCACTTTTTCGGCTCCTATACGATTAAGGGACCCTAAACCCTATAGGGACCACTTTTTCGGCTCCAATATGATTGAGGGACCCTAAACCCCTATAGTGACCACTTTTTCGGCTCCTATAGGATTAAGAGACCCTAAACCCCTATAGTGAGCCCTTTTTCGGCTCCTATAGAATTAAAGGACCCTAAACCCCTAGAGGGACCCCTTTTTCGGGTCCTATACGATTAAGGGACCCTAAATCCATATAGGGACCACTTTTTTCGGCTCCTAAAGGATTAAAGGACAGTAAACCTCTAGAGGGACTACTTTTTCGGCTCCAATAGGATTGAGGGACCCTAAACCCCTATAGTGACCACTTTTTCGGCTCCTATAGGATTGAAGGGCCCTAAGCCCCTATAGGGACCACTTTTTCGGCCCCCTAGAGGTTTTTTTGCCCCTAACCCCTATAGGGACCACTCTGAAATTACTAAGCTAGTATAACTTGTCACAAGATTATAATCATTCCGAGTTTTTCAAAAAGGTAGGCTAACCAGTAGGAGAAACGGCGTTGACTGAAAGGCCTTGCTTGATGATCAAGTTGAAAATGTTTCTCTGAAACATTTTGATTCCAGGAGAACTACTGATTTCATAGTACTGAATGATAAGAATGAGGAGATTCTTCGACGAAAAACTCGGGTTTCATCAAAAGTGTCAGTCCCTCCGAATTTCGTTCACAAACGTCGGCGCCCTGTTCGCAGAGGTATTTGACTGGAAATTTCGGATTTCTTCTTTTTTTAATGGCTTTAAAGGTTCAGTTATTGTATTGCCACACGGCGTTCTTTGCATTAAGAAAAAATATTAAAAACTAACTCTTCTGAAAATTTCCGGATCTTGTGCCGTGTTCAAAACTATTTCCGCGAAATGCAAAATTATCTCTGACTCTCCAAAATTTAGTTGTATTTTTCTTTCTCTGACAGTTATTTTGGATTCCGCGGGATCACTTTGAAGACGGCATTAAAATTGCAAACATGAAAAATGAAAAAAAAAATTGGAGTACGCGATATTGCGTCTCGGTGTGTTTACAACCTAAACACTATAACTTACGACACTTTTTTTAAAATGGGTTTTTAAAAACCAGTGATTTAACAAAAATTATAATTTGGTGAAGAAAAATTTGATTTAAAAAAACAAGCAAGAGGACAGATAACGAAAAAAAGTATCGAAATTAAAACATCAAAAGTTGCTTTCCGAAATTTTTCTTATGAGTTTCCATGTATATATTTTTTTGTTTGGTAAAATCCTGTGAAAAGCTCTGAAAATTTCGGCTAACTTAAGTTTCTGTTTGTTCCCTCTGAATTATAGTAATATCAATTATTTTTGAAAAAAAAAATATAAGGAATATATGAGAAAAAAATTTTTTGAAACAACCTATTCAATCGTGTTTCATTCAATTTTTTGCTATATTTTGAACTATTTTCATTATTTTTTGTTCGTAAAATCACTCTGAAACTAGAAAAAAAAATTCGACACGAACATATTTTGAACTCGGCCTGCCTGCACGCAATGAACAAGGGCGGTTCGTTTTTCATTCCAGGCGCCTCTTTTAAATTAATTTTCGCTTCTTCTACAAGCACTTTGAGGAACTGAAAACAATACCTTCAGTTCAAAAAAAAAAAATGACAACCTTGAAAGAAGGTCCATGCAATAAATAGTCATAAATATCTCTGGCGCAAGCTTTTTCGATAGTCAATCGCAAGGCGGTTTCTGGGTCTGAAATTACAAATTAAAAAAAAAAAGTTCTGAAATATCTTTAAAAAAACCTTTTTCTGATTTCGGATCGCTTTCAATGAACACCAATGGGTCAGCGCCAAGATTTATCTGAATAAAATATCAAAATTTCGGCAAATTCAAACCTACCAAATGGCGCGCAATATCAAATAGGCTCTTTTTGCAGGCTACGATCAAGGGGATTTTTTCCGCCGGCTCGTTGAGAAATCGATGAAGATATTCTTCTGATTTCCCGTCCGTTACCTTCTTCAAAATTTCACATAAAAATTTTCCTGGAATAAAAATTACCTTCAATTCATCCAAATTTCCATTATAAATAGCTTCCAATAAGTTGTTTCGAAACTGCTCGTCGGGTAGTTCTTCCATCCTTGACTTCTTAATGTTCCTTCTTCAAAAAAACAAAATAAAAAAATTTGAAATAGAATCACTTCGAAATATAAAAATTATCTTGTTGGCAAGTTAAAAAAATGGGAAAAAGTTGGATTTGCGCGCCATGGATAAGTCATTTGGAGTTTCGTTCGCTGGAAATAAAATTTGAATTTTTTTATTTTTATCCTTTTTTTAAAAATCTTTTTTTATCTCATGTCGTGTTCAACTGGATTCAGACCATGGTTTTATGCGAAACGGTATACTCCATAAGGTAGCTCTGAAACGGTACTTTTTTTGAAGTATTTTCCTTTCTTTTCGGGAAACAATTTTCTTTTGTCCGAGGAACCTTTTTCATAGTTTGAAATCTCTGTCATATGTTTTTTTTTCGTTCTGCGTATAATCAAAATTTTAGTGCTCATATGAGAAATATATGAATAATGCGGTATTTTAACGGATTGCCTTCGTTTTTCCATCAATTGATTTATTTATTGCTGAGATAACTATAATTTCCCGTTGAAAAAGTGAACTTCTGCAACAGGGAAGCCAAGGAAACCTATAGAACAGGTGTAAAGTTTGGCACCAGAGGACTTTAATGGCCCTGAGGATAAATGTTCTTGTTGTTCGGTGAGTCAGCTGACCCGGGGCCTTCATTTCGAACCGAATCCATCGCAAATCCAACAAACAAGCATGGCTTCCGATTTTTCTTCGTCTTTACTGTCGATATTTCTGTTTTCACTGGTTTTTGTTTTTCGTCGAGGTGAGGAAACTTTTTGGAAGGGGGTTTTTTTGAAATTTAGCCTTTTTATGAGCATCTGATAGTTCAAAATAAGATCATAGTTTTGAGATTTATTGCGATTTTCATTAGAATTCACTCTTGTTGATTTTAGACTTTTAAAGTGGCCCGCGCCAGCTTGTCACGATTTCCAGTTTATTTGGAGCTACAGTAGCCTTTTCGGCTTTTTCGCTTCGATGCTCTCGGTGTGCCCCCTTGCGTGCTCCTTTAATAAAACTCATTGTTTCCGAACTTTGGAATTTTCTTATTCTACAAAAACAGTTGTGACATCAAATTTTGTATCAAACTAACCCAAAAATTATATGCCAGAAAAGCTCGAACAGTCGGTTTCATCAATAACAATCAAAATTATTGAATTAATCTTTTTGATTTTTTTTTTTACAAATCCAGCACAGAATCTGAGTGTGTATAGTTGAAGCGAAAAATGAAATCAATCCATTGAAAAAACCTCGTTAATGAAAGAGATAGCGGAAATTGAAGCAATATCTTGATCAGAAATAATGTTTTATTAAAGGCGCACGCAAGGGGGCACACCGAGAGCATCGAAGCGAAGCGCCGAAAGGGGTTCTGTAGCTCCGAGGAAAATTGAAATCGTGACACGCTGGTGCGGAATGACCTATATGTCAAAACCCTAAAGTGCCCCCTGAAATTTTCCCGTTCTCCAGGCTCCAAGGCCGATGTGGACCCGTGTCCGGACCGATGGTTCCACATGCCCCAATCCCATTCTTGCTTCTACTCCCCACTTCATCCCCACGAGTGGGAAGAAGCTGAAGAGCACTGTATAGAGCTTGGTGGACATTTGGCTTCGGTTCGAAGTCCCGAGGAAGCTTCTATCTTGCGAAGTTTGTTTCTATCAAGAAATTTTTATCTTTATCTATATCTTATCAAATTTTTATCATTTTTTTAACTCATCAGGGAATGTTCTGATCTCACAATGGGACTTCTGAATGAGACTACTAGATGTATTTTCTGACGCTGATTCCAAATCTGGTCTTAAAAACTGCCCTCAAGGCCTGTGAATAAAGTTAAGGGCTCTCGAAATTTCCGACCTTTGAGAGCCCCTAACTTTTTTTTTACAGATTTCAAGGTTCATTTTTTGAAAAAACAGTGAACCTAGTCTCATTCAGAAGTCCACTGGTAAGTTAAAAACAAAAAAGGTGTTAAAAAATGGCTCATTTAATGTATTTTTAGTTATTATTTTGGGTTTCCACTCTTTTATTTTTTTAAACTAGGTGTTTTTATCATTTTTTGGGATCAATTTTGCGTTACCGGAATTTTTCAACCTACTCAGATATTCTTAACGCAAAAAAGACGTGCTCCTGACGTTTCTAAGCGATTCTAGGGATCACTTAAGAGTGCTGACGCTACTAAAGTGGTCACTAAAAATTCGCGTTACTCCAAGTTAGTTGACCATATTCAAGGGCGCGCCGGCTCAAAAATCCCTGTCAATAATAAGATGTATTCTCGGTTTTTGTTTGCTTTTGATTTTTTCTTAACAGTTATTGTTATAGAATTTCTTACTATCACCTTGTAAATTCAATAATTCCCCTTTCCAGCACTTTTGGTCCGAGAAAACCCGAGTTTTTTCAACTGGATCGGACTCCGACGAAATCCGATCGATCAGGAATTTTCGTGGACCGACGGTTCCAGCTTCTCCTTTGCACTTTTCAAGAAAAGTTCGTTTTTGAAGACGTTGGAAAAGAAAAAAAATTGATAAAAAGCTGTTTTGTAGTGCTTCCAACTTACCCTGGACTGGTATAAGTGTCTAGGAATTTACTATATTCTCAAGGAAATCTATGTTTCTTGAGTTTTTTTGGTGTCATTTCAAAAATTTTTAAATTATGTAATTTTTTTTGTTTTGAAGTTCCACCACGAACACAGTTTTTTTCCTGAGTTTTCCCAGTTTCTCTATGAATTCAACCAGTCAACTTAATTTACTCTGTTTTGAAAAATTTAGATTTTTTTTCAAAGTTTTTTTTTTGCCAAAATGACCGTATGCCAAATTGGAACAGATGCGCTTCAAGATCGCGTGGTTTTGTGAAGAAAAAGTAAAATAGCTTTTTTCTCAGTCTTATCAATTTTCAGACGAACCCACAGATTTTGGAGACTGTATCGCCTGGTCGCTGACTGAGGGAACCGACGGCTGGGCGGCTATAAACTGCGATTATTCCCAATTTTTCCTCTGTCGCAAGGGTGCCGAGGGGTTTGAATTTTTAAGCTAACTATCTTTAAGAAGCTTCATCTTGCTAGGAATTTTTCCTGTTTCAGTGAACGAGCCGCCTGGTTTAGTGAGGATGAAGGCGAATTTTCGAGTCCCGGTTTCCCGGAAGCCTACGAAAACGAGATGAAACGCAATTTCTTCATTCAGGTTAAGAAAATTTACGTCTAGCAAACATCGAAAATGATCAGTTTGAGGCTTTTTCTGTCTTTTTCCGATAGAAATAAGACTGGGAGAATCTCTAGTGGCCATTTAAGGGGCTCCTTAAGGACTACTTGGAGAGGACACTGAAAAAACCCCTATAGAAGCCACTATCTTGCGTCTTAGTGGCCACTATAGCAGTTTTAGTGGGTTAATAAAACCACCTGGAGTTCTAAAATTCCAGTCGATTTTAATCACTTAAGTGGCCACTTATTTGACTACTAGAGTGGCCACTAAAATGTCGAAACCCTACAGTGTCCACTAAAAATACTCCAGATGGGCGTGGCTTCAAAAATCAATGAGAAAAGCTTGAAAAATATTTTTTTTATACTTTTTGCTATGGAATTAATAATAAAAACCTAGTTTTTCTCTAAAACTCTCTCTAAAGCACGCTATTTCGCCGATCGTGTTAGGACCATTTTATCGAATTTTCATGGATCTTTTATGCTTTTTCACAATAATATAGTTTCAGTTTGAAATAAAAAGTCGTTTCTACTTTTTTTTTTCAGCCACTTATTTAACTACTAGAGTGGCCACTAAAATGTCAAAACCCTACAGTGTCCACTAAAAAAATACTCCAGATGGGCGTGGCTTTGAAAATCAATGAGAAAAAGCTCGAAAAAAATATTTTTTTATATACTCCTTGCTATGAAATTATTAATAAATACCTCGTTTTTTTCTCTAAAAACTCTCTGGAGCACACTATTTCGCCAATTGTTCCAGGACCATTTTATCGGATTTTATTGGTTTTTCTGAAATTGTTTCAAAAGTTATCAGGAATAACCTCTCAATTTCAAAAAAAGTCAAAAAAACCATTTTTAACTAATTTTCAGCCAACTATTTAACTACTAGCGGGACCATAAAAACCCTAAAGGGACCACTAAAAGTTTTTTAAAGTTGAAAAACTCCCTTTTCTTAAGAAATTAGCCTTTTTCTAGGTTGAAAACGGCTCAAGAATCCTCCTCACCTTCACTTCAATCGATACAGAACCCGAAAAAGATGTGATTACGGTATTCGACGGTCATTCGGAGGAAAGTCGAACCATTGCCAAGTTTCAAAAAAAATCAAAAAATCATTCAAAAATCGAGAAATTTCTAGGCTTTCCGGAAAAATCCCGGAAAGTCGATCTTTCCTTTCCAGTAGCCATGAAATGGCTGTCAGGTTCGAAAGCGACGAGGATACGGTAGCCGCTGGCTTCTCCGCCCGTTACAGTATACTGTGGGGTTACTGTAGTTATTTCAAATAGACTAGGGGAATTTTTCAGGATGAGAAATGAGCTGAAGAACTATTCGAGCATGTTCGAGACGATTTCCAGCCCAAAACCTGCCGCCTCCTTTTACTTGCAAGATTATTTGATCGAATGTCCGCCGGACTTTCATGTCGAGTTTACGGTTTCAGGTAAATTTGGGGGTTGAAAAGAAAATATATTAGACTTAGAAACTCCAGAGTGGCCCTTAAGGGTTTCGAAATTTGAAAGTTCTTTTTTTTTTTTTACTTCACCAAACCCTATAGGGGCCACTCAAGCTTGCAAAAGCGGCCTCTGGGACATTCTGGTCGATTATTGTCATGAAATTGATAAAAATCAATAAATTACTGTTTTTGTTTAGAACTAAACTGCTTAACCCCTCTAGGGACCACCTAAATTTTACCCCTATAATGGCTGGTTTTTCTCTAAACCCTATAGGGATCACTCTGGTGTTAAGAAGTGAGGAAAAGGCGTAAATAAATGTAGAAAAAAGACAATTTTTGGGATTTTAAGACATTTTCAAAGCTTTTAGAGCGTGATAAAAATTCGAAAAATCGGATACTTTATTAAAAAGTGGCTAGAAAAGGCAAGAAACTCCGTTTTCCACCTTGAAGGGCGGTAGATCGATTACTTTTGTACCTTGGAAAGTCAGAAAAGGGCCTCTTAAGGGATTCAATTGATTGAAACCTGAAAAAGGCCACTTTAGGGTTCTACTCGATCGGAACCTGACTTTTTGCTATCACTTGTTAAAAAGAAGTTATTGGGATTTTTAAAGGAGCATAGGCTAATTTCTTTTTCAAGGTCCCGAGCCGAAAAGTCGTTTTTAGTGGTAATTTTGAAGGTTTTCATAAGTAATTTCTGTCATCATATGTATTAATTTGAAAGAAAATATATAGTCTGTTCAGATTTTGAATGTCAAGTGCAATGACGTCATTCGAAAACGCTCTGTGGATGGCTCGCTCTCTGATTGGTTTATCGCGCCATTAGGGGGCGGGGCTTCAGCGACGACTTGACATTCAAAATCTGAACAGACTATAGTTTCTGGCCAATTTAACGCCTTTTTCTCCTCTTGATACATTGTGAATAATAATTTCATCGTTTTATTCTCAAAAAAAATATTTCTAGGCGTTCAACTGGACGCTGACGACACCTTGAAGTTCTACCAAGGCTCATCGGATCAAGAATACGTCATCAAAATGTAGATTTTCCAAATTTCAAGCCGAATTTTTAAGATTCAGGTACAAGGCGACCTCGTCGAAGATCACCAACTTTCCCACGGAAAACTTCAAATCGACCAAAAATACCGTATTTTTCTCCTACGATTCCGGTCAGCAGACGAAACCCGACGAAAACGGCTGGAAGTTGGAATATCAGTGCAAATTCGACGCGAATCTCGGCGAAGAAATCGAAATTTGATATGTGAATAAAAACGTGTTATTCGAAACTAAATATCTATTGACAAGGCGAAATATTTGAACGAAAATAAAAAGAAATCGCCTAATCGCGGATCGATTCGAGCCCGGAAATGGTGTACTGGTTTCCGGTCAGCCGGTGGTCGCGCTTGCATAAATCCACCCTGAAACGGGGAACGTAAGTAAAATATGGAAATATTCTGGTCCTGATGTTGAGATTTTGTACATTTTGGAGCGAAAATTTCCTAAAAAACTATAAATTTCTAGCTTATGTGCAAATTTGGAGCGCAAAAAACCTAAAAAAGGACTTTTTTGCCCATTTCACATTTTCCAGCTTGAACGTGACAATTTTGAGTTCAAAGTGATTCGCGAAATGCAAAATGACCGTCAGAGAAAGAAAGGATAACTAAATTTTGGAGGGTCAGATAATTTTCCATTTTGCGGAAATAACTTTGATATATTGCGATTTTGGTTCAGAAGTTGAATTCCTACACATTTAATGGTTTAAAAAAATTGATTTTTCCCAAAAATGACTTTTTTTAATTATGTCTAGTTGTTTCCGTTGTACTACGTGCAAATGAGGAAAGTCAAAATAACTTCTTTTTTTTTCGCTAAATTTATTCCCTTTTCTGCTTAGACGTGACCATTTTGAATAAACATTGCTACTTTTTGCTTTAAAAGTGGGATTTTGTCTAATTCTAGACGCATAAAAATTAATTTTTCCTAAAAAATATAATTTTCCAGTCATTTCTAGTAGTGCAAATTTGAAACTCACAAAGCCGAAAAAGTGCTTTTTTTCTTTTCAGCCCACGGTTTTTGATCAAGGTAAGCGTATTAACACGCTGTCTCTGTAATTTTTCAAAAAGTTTTTCAAAAAGAGTGGGTACAATAGAAAAAAATATTTTTTTGATTTTGATGAAACTTCACCCACTTTGATAGTCTGTCATCAGGAATGCCGACGCAAGTTTTTCAGACCGATTCCTCCTACCGTAGCTAGGTTACGGTAGGCAGGTGCGTCTTTTCGTATGTAAGAATCTACGCGTTCTTTCTAGGCGTATTGTATATCAATCGATAGGGATTGCAATTTTAGGAACTTTTTCAGTACATAATATCATGGGTTACTGTAGAAATTTTTTGAGTTACGGTAATTTTTGTGTCTGCGATTTTGGTTTTTCCGTCACTCTGTGTGTTCGGGGAGAGACCACGGCTGGTAACTTTCCTGAAACATTCTTCTCAGCAATACCTACGGAGAGATACCACTTTGAAATGGATCTGTCCTACCGGTCATTTCGAAAAATCGCTTCGAAGAGGCTCAACTTGGCATTTCTCGGGGAAAAGCGCCCGCGGTTAGAGATTTCTACCTCTCTTTTCTCGTCAGATCCGGTGCTAAAGTTTGTTTCACTTGTTAGTGCAGGGTTGTACTTCATAGATGATAATGTTCCCTCCGACTTTCAGCCTACCCTTCTACCATAAAATTCAGTTTGAAGCCGATTTTGGCCTAAAAACAACGATTCTCAGATTTCAACTTTTTTTTCTGAGCTCAGTCCTACTGAGGCTGGGCTCCAAAGTGTCTTTTATTACTTTTACATGCTACATGAGCTATTTGATCAAGAAAAAACTGTGTTTGAGCCTACCCGTCTAGCTCAAAATTCAATTCGAAGCCTATTTTGGCCTAAAAACAGCGATTCTCAGATTTCCATGTTTTTTTTCTGGGCTCAGTCCTACTGAGGCTGGGCTCCAAAGTGTCTTTTATTTCTTTTACATGTTACATGATTTTTTTGATCTAGAAAAAACTGTGTTTGAGCCTACCCGTCTAGCTCTTAATTCAACTTGAAGCCGAGTCTGGCCTAGAAACAGTGGTTTTCGATATTATATCACTCTTCTGGAGAAATTATTGATAGATAAAATCTGTCTCTTAAAATTTGAATTTTGCTTTAGATTGAAATAATCCGAATTGAACCTGTTTTTCGAGCGCTTTTCGACTTTGAAGATTTTGACGAGAAAATAAATATTTTCATGAACTTTTCTGCTCTCGAAACATATCATTCACAAAATTTGGAATACGTTCTAGTATCAAGGCGCTGAGAAACTCTTTTGTGAATTCGTTCATCAGGGATTCAAGCAAGAATAGGCCAAACATTGTCTTCAAACTGAATTTTGAGCTTGACGGGTAGGCTCAAACACAGTTTTTTCTTGATCAAATAGCTCATGTAGCATGTAAAAGTAATAAAAGACACTTTGGAGCCCAGCCTCAGTAGGACTGAGCTCAGAAAAAAAAGTTGAAATCTGAGAATCGTTGTTTTTAGGCCAAAATCGGCTTCAAACTGAATTTTATGGTAGAAGGGTAGGCTGAAAGTCGGAGGGAACATTATCATCTATGAAGTACAACCCTGCACTAACAAGTGAAACAAACTTTAGCACCGGATCTGACGAGAAAAAGAGAGGTAGAAATCTCTAACCGCGGGCGCTTTTTCCCCGAGAAATGCCAAGTTGAGCCTCTTCGAAGCGATTTTTCGAAATGACCGGTAGGACAGATCCATTTCAAAGTGGTATCTCTCCGTAGGTATTGCTGAGAAGAATGTTTCAGGAAAGTTACCAGCCGTGGTCTCTCCCCGAACACACAGAGTGACGGAAAAACCAAAATCGCAGACACAAAAATTACCGTAACTCAAAAAATTTCTACAGTAACCCATGATGGTATGTACTGAAAAAGTTCCTAAAATTGCAATCCCTATCGATTGATATACAATACGCCTAGAAAGAACGCGTAGATTCTTACATACGAAAAGACGCACCTGCCTACCGTAACCTAGCTACGGTAGGAGGAATCGGTCTGAAAACTTGCGTCGGCATTCCTGATGACAGACTATCAAAGTGGGTGAAGTTTCATCAAAATCAAAAAATATTTTTTCTATTGTACCCACTCTTTTTGAGAATTACGGAGACAGCGTGTTAACAAAATAAATATCACAAGTTAATGCCATGTTCAAAGTGATTCCGCGAAATTCAAAATAGCCGTCAGAGAAAGAGAAAGATAACTAAATTTTGGAGGGTCAGAGACAATTTCGCATTTCGCGGAAATTACTTTGAACACGGCATAAAACTCAAAAAAAAAAACTTTAAACCTTTGCTTAGTGCAATAGTTGCGGCGGAACTTTCGGCCCACATCCCACTTGTTAAATGGATAGCTCATATAACAGGCACCGGCGACGAAAGCCGTGGTGATAATCCCCGAGTAGAACTGCTCAAACCACATCTGAAACGGGAAATTTGAAGACTTTCATGGATTTCTTTTTTTGCGATTAAAGCATCGAAAAAACGACAAATATCGCGAAAATAGAGCGAATCAATGTTCAAAAAAGTCTCCAGCATGTTTCTGAAGGGCATAAAACAAATTTAAAAATAAAATGAATAAGAAAAATGAAAAATGAAAACAAGAAATATCAAGAGACGCCGCCTGTTGTGGATTTAAGCGGCGGCGTACTTTTGTGGGCGTGGCTTATCGGCAATCTGCGGCAGGAACGTAAGAGCCGTTTTCTAGATATTTACGAGAGAGTTGTTTTTTTCATCTTGTTTTTTTCTTGGTGTTTCTTGAAAAAAATTGTATTTTTGTCACGAAGTTTTGTCTTTTTTTTTTTAAGATTACATTTCCAAACGCTGGAGCTTCTTGATATTTTCTCCTAAGGTTATATACTGACTTTTTCAGGGTGAATAATTATTTTAAATGAAGCTTTTGTTCATTTCAACACTCTTTGAACGTTTTCTCACAGTTATCCTTGTTTTCTGAAAGCTTTGATGGTTTTCAAATAGTCAGAAGCTGTTTTAATTGTGAAATTTCCCGCTTACTGCCCGAAATTCCCCTGTTTACCAATGAATCATCGTGACCTTTCTTCCCTTTTTGCCCACTTTTTTACACTTTTCATTCGTTTTTTCTTTCAGTTTTATGAGCGAACCGTCAGAATTGCTTCTCTCCAAGTTTTCCATCGAGAATTTGATCGAACAGACCTACGTCGGAGTTGAGGAGCCAGTGGATTTGAACTCATTTGTAAGAAATTACCATAATTAAAGAGAATAAAAGTGTCTTTTGGTTCAGACCAACTACGGATATACTATAAACTTGCTTCCGAACGGACTTTTATGGGCAAAAAGACTTGCCGACGATTTTTCCTGCTCATTTTCGGTGATACCCATCGCCAAACCGTGTCCCCATGGATCGACGGCTAAGAAAAGGAGGTTTCGTAATCTTGGTTTTTACTCACTTTTATGTTTCTGTAGTATCTGAATCAATAAAACGACTGAAAATAAGTTGAAATTTTATGAAAAATTGTAAAAAAATAGCTGTAATTCTCAAAATTTCCCATGTAAAATGAAGAATTTTTGAGCTCTTGACGGAAAAATTTAATTAAATAATTGAAATTATACTTTTTTTGTAAACTAGGAGACTTCAAGACCTTTTAAAAAAAGCCTAATTTAAAGGAAAAGCGGAAAATTTTTTTTTTACAAGATAAAGACACATTTTTGAAAGTTTTGGACTCACTTTAATCTATTTTTTGGCCTAGATTTTTCATATTTCGTAATTAATTCCAACGGGTAGAAATTAAATATGTTCACTGTTTCAAATGAATTGGGGGTCAAAATAGTCCGAAAAATGCTTTTATCCACTCATAGAAATCACTAAATTTCTTCAAAAAAAGCCGTTTTTTTAAAGTTTTTTTCCAAGTTCCTCGCTTTTTTTGTAGATCAAATATGGGCATAATATCATTTAAAAAAAAATTGATTTTAATTCCGTAACTCTCGAAAAAAATTTTTTTAATTTTTTTGGCCTTTATTCAGTCAAATTCAAATATAAAAAAATCAATAAAAATTTTTTTCAAAAATTTAATTTTTTTGTCAATTTTTTTCAGTTTCCTCGTTTTTTTGTAGATCAAAAGTGGTCATATTTTCATCTGAAAAATTTAATTTTGATCCGAAAAAAAAAATTTTCAGCTTTTTTCCAGTCATTCTCAGCTCCTTTTCAGTCAATCTCGCCGTATTTTCCAAATTTTCAGACCCCTAAAAATCAAATTCCTGTCGATATCTTCCACGGAGGCGGCTCTTTGCGATGTTTCCGGTCGGTTATGGAAACTGGACCTTCAGACGATCCCGTTCGGGAAATCTGAAGAAACTTCGGTCGATGTAAAAAAGCTGCCGATGTCGAAACAGTTGCTCTGCGTTCGGATCTGCGCCGGACGGTAGGAAAGAAAAACTCAAAAAAGTGATGAAATAACCCCTTAAGGTCCCACTTCCTGGCTCTGGTCAGGAGGAGAAGGTCCGAGGAGACTTTCCGGAAGTCTGAAGAGGGGGAGGACGAATATTTCTGCGAAGATTGTCGGCAGAGCTCCAGATTGAGGTTATCGACGCTGATGATCGAAGCGGATCAGGTTGGACTGGGAAGTGACCACTTTAGGGCTCGACGTTTCAGTGGCCACTATAGTAGTCGAATAAGTGGCCGCTTGAGGGGTACGAAAACTACTATAGTGGCCACTAAGGCGCTAAGTTGGGATTGAAGCCGATGAGGAGAATTTCTAGTGACCACTTCAGGGTTTCGACGTTTTAGTGGCTAGTGTAGTGGTAGAGTTAGGGGCCACTCAAGTGACAGAAACTTAGTGGACTCTTTAGGGATATTACTAGACCAATAAAAAATACTTTAGTGGTCACTGACACGTAAAATAGAGTCTTCTATAGAGGTGGTTCGGAATTGAAGCCGATGAGGAGAATTTCTAGGGACCACTTTAGGGCTCGACGTTTTAGTGGCTAGTGTATTGGTAGAGTTAATGGCCACTCAAGTGACTTGAATTGAGTGGCCTCTTTAGGGGTATTAGGAGTAATGCTAGGCCACAAAAAAATACTATAGTGGCCACTTGACGCAAAATAGTGGCTTCAAGAGAGGCAATCTCAGGTTGAAATAAAAGCTGAATGATGAAATTTTTAGTGACCACTTCAGGGTTCTGACCTTTCAGTGGCCACTTAAGTGACAAAAACTTAGTGGACTCTTCAGGGATATTGTTAGACCAACAAGAACTACTATAGTGGCCACTTGACGCAAAATAGAGGCTTCAAGAGAGGCAATCTCAGGTTGAAATCAAAGCTGAATGATGAAATTTTTAGTGATCACTTCAGGGTTCTGACCTTTCAGTGGCCACTATAGTAAAAGAGTTAGTGACCTCTCAAGTGGCTAAAATCTAGCGGCCTCTCCAGAAGTTTCAGTGGTACTGCTAGACCACTAAAACTACTATAGTGGCCACTAAGACGCAAAATAATGGCGTCAGTAGAGTCGGTTTTAGTGGCCACTTGAGAGTCCTCTCCAAGTAGTCCTCAAAGAACCTCTTCAGTGACCACTAGAGTTTTTCCGAGGAGTTCAAAAAAAAAAACGATCTGACCTGTCTGCGCTCTCTACGAGGTCATAGAGAGATGAAAATGGCCGAGAGAGCGCAGAGAGATCAGAGAAAAATGTTAATAATAGTTATTTTATTGGGATTTTCGTTTCATAGTTTGTGGAATAGGACTTGGGACATAATTTTTAACTGTCTGACCTGTCTGAGATCTCTTTTCCCTCGCCGGTGATGTCATAGAAGTATGAAAATGAGCGAGAGAAAAGGAGACGGAGAGAAGTTAGAATGCTGTAGGACGAGTGGACTTTATTGAAACTTTTACAAAATCTCTGTTTTCATGACCTGAATCGAAATTTAGAAAAAAAAAACTTTTGAAATGATAAATTTCGATTTCAGATGGCCGAGGAACTCCGGCTGACGGGAGAAGATGCGGATCGCCTTTCCAGAGTCTCTCAATTTTGTCATTCTGCTCGATTTCGTTGCTCGTTAGTTTCAAAAATTTTTTGACTGTCTAACCTGTCTGTGTTCTCTTTTCCCTCGTCGACGAGGTCATACAAGTAAAAGAAAATCTGTCGTTCAAAAAATGACGTCATTTCTATCAAAAATATCAAAATTTACGTCACTTCCAGAAATGACGTCATTGTTTAATTTACAGGCCTAAACAAATTTTTTTTAAAGGTAGAAACTTGGGTAAAATGCTACAAAGCTTCCTGGAGTCTATTTAATTTTTTGTTTTTTCAAAATTATGAGCTCTCAAAATAATCCTTATGCACCTTGATTAGTTAAAACCATGCCGTTGAGGGGAAAATTAAAGTACTTTCCCATTTAAAAATGACGTCACTTTTTCCAGGAATGACGTCATCGAGGAGGATGAGGTGACGTCATCGTCACCAACCGGCGAGATCCCGGAAAATCCCAAACTTTCGGCGATCCACAAAACTGTCTCCAACATGGAAAAACTTCCCGAATCGTTTGATCTCGATTCAAATTTTCTTTTTAAAGGTTTCAAATCGGAGTTTCGAAGTTTATAGAACTTTGAAACCACAAGTTTTTTCTAGTTTATTGTGAAAAATTTAAAAAAGAGAGTTTTACCAAAATTTCTATGATTTGAAGCTCCAAAAAAATGAGCTTTTTTGGGGGCGGAGCTTCAGCTGATGCTCAGCCAAATTTTCGATTTATTCAAGTTCAGTTGATTCGAAGCTATTTTCGATGATTTTTTGATTTTTTTTTTGGCCAGTTTGAGTCGATGCGCAGCGAATTATTCAAAAAAATCAAGGAAAATCATCGAAATTTTTAGACCTCCATCTCATTGAAAAAAATGGAGGGTCCCTAATTTTTTTCCGGTTTTTTTGTGATTTTTTTGGAGCTTTAGTCGATGCGCAGCGAATTATTTAAAAAAATCAAGGAAAATTATCGAAATTTCTGGCTTCTACCTCATTGAAAAAAATACTCAAAGACCTAATTTTTTTTGAAATTTTTTCGGGTTTTTAAGTTGATGCGCAGCCATTTCTGGATACGTAGTCATTCAAAATCAATTTTTTAGACGCCATTAGTCTCCCCGATGCCGAAATTGGCCATTTCACCTTCGTTTCGATGGATCGGATATCGATCCGGAGCAAGTTTATAGGTTTAACTTTTTGCTTTTTTTAAGCTTATATCTTCGAAATATTTATCAAAAGTGGTTTTTTTAGACAAGGCCGAAACCACGTCGAGTCAGGAAAGCCGGACAAGGATTGGGGGCAAGAAAACGGCCGGTTTTGGTGGGTTATTGAGCAATGAATAAGGGCTTTTTTTTTGAAGGAAAGATGGTTTTTTCAAGATTTTTTTTTTAAATTCCAACAGAAATCCCAGTTTTCTCGAAGCCCCCAACATTCCCATTCTTATAGGAAGCCTCCAAAAATTTTTTGGGCTTGTAAAAAGGTCTCCGTGAACTCTAGGAAACTGAAAAAAAAAGTAAAATTAAGCGAACCACGCATATTTTTTCCGTAAAATGTAACGTTTTGTGTGCATGCACCGCGACGCTCTCGCACATTCTGTGTTCAAAGTAATTTTCCTGAAATTCAAAATCATCTTTGAATTTTCGCAATTCAGTTATATTTTTCACTTTTTTTTTTTGAATTTCTGGAAATTACTTTAAGAACGGCAGGTGCTTCAAAAAAGTTTAAACAGAATAGTTGCGTTGTTTCAAATGAGAAGTCGATTCGTCTTTTGACCCATTGAACATGCGCCTTTTAGTTTACCTGTTGTTTACGCTGGCAACGGGGAGTTTTGACCACGCCCCCTTCATTTTTGGTTTTTCATTTTCTTCCATTAACAAAAACGCCGTGCGAAAAATTCTGATATTTTTTAAGCTTGCTGGATTTTTTTCTTCGCAAGATCGAAAATTAAAAACTTAACATGATCGATTCATTGATTTTTTTTTTAGAACCGAAGAAATGTATTGATAGTCTGTTTGCCACGACTTTAAATTCAACCCAACGATATTCCGCTGTTTCGCGAAGCGTCTTCGAATCTAGGGTTTTCAATTGATTTTTATTGCTGAGAGTGCACATGAAAGTAGAGTACCTTAATAAAAAAAAAAATTAAAAGCGCGACCGAGGTTTGCAAAGGCGCGCAGCGGCACAGCGGAATGTCGTTTTATGAAATTCCAAGTCGTGGGCTATATTAGGTCTTGCTTTTTTGATGGGCAAGAACTCTCTTTTTCGGGATTATTCAAGAAATTGAAGTTATCATCAGAATCAGCGGGAAATTTGATATTTAATTATTTATTTTGAATACATTTCAAGACAAGAATCAATTTTAAGAGTGCTTGGAAATGCGGGAATGTCATGAAGTTTGGAGTTGGGGCGCGAATGAGTGCGGTCAGTTGGGCCATGGGGACACCGTCGGCAGGTTCTTACCATCAAAAATATAAGGCAATCTTGGTTTTCCAGACATCAACCGTCGAGGATCATCAACTTGGACAAGGAATTCGTCACGGATCTGTCCTGTGGCGACGATTTTTCCATGGCCATGACGTCTTCTGGAGAAGTAACAGAATTATTTATCGATTATTAAACTCCAGAGGGGTCCCTATAGGGGCCAGGGGTGAAAAAAACATCTACAAGGTGAAATTGAAGTGGTCCCTAGAGGGGTTAGGGGAACAAAACAGTCCCTATAAGGGAAAAAAAAGCTTCTAAAGGTTATAATTCAGGTTTCAGAACAGACCCATAAGTTTAAGTGGTCCCTATAGGGGAATTTTAGTTCTCTGTTCTTCTCATATTATGATTCCCTAGAGTGGCCACTTTTGCAAGCTTTAGTGTACCCTATAGGGGTTGGCAAAGTGGTCCCTAGAGGGGAACCTTCAAGGGCTCTGTAGGGATCACTCTGGGTTGAAGAAAACTCTGAGAACCACTAAAGCGTTCCCTTTCGCATTGGAGCGCACTTTGAGCCGGAATTCGTCTCTTGGTTTTTTTTAGGAGATTTTTCGACCTTTCCAGGAAGTTTTCATTTTTTTTTTTCATTTATAAATAGTTTATATAGTTTTCGAGAGGATTAAAATATATATAATATTATTTTTTTCGCAGGTTTTCACCTGGGGCCGGAATAATTTCGGCCAGGCCGCCGAGCCAATGATTCTGCTGCCAAAAACGCTTCGGGTATAGTTCTTTTTTTTCATTTTTTCTGAAATTCGAGTTTTTTTAAACCATAAATTCAATATTTTTAATCGCAAAACTGATTTCAAAACCACTAAAGCGTTCCCTGGGAATTTTCGCATTGGAGCGCAACTTGCGCCAAAATTCGTCTCTTGGGGTATTTTTACGAGAACTTTTTTTTTCGATTTCTCGCCTTTTTTCATAAGTTTCTTATATTTTTCTTTTCTAAACCGTTTATAAAGTTGTTGAGAGGTTTATTTGAATTATAAATACTGGAATTTTTTTTAAAAGTATACCTGCTTTTTAGGTTAATACGATAAGAACGGTAACTACAAACTGATTTTAGCCAAAAGGCCGATTTTTACCTGAAAAAACTTTTGATCTTCATATTTGTCTTGAAAATTCGTATCTAGGGGAGAAATTGTTCTTAGTTAATGTTATTTTTAAATTCGTTTAGGATTTTCAAGTTGAATTCAAAGTTTTGTATCGTCATTTTTTTATAATTATAAATCTTGAGTACCTATTTCCGTAATTTCAGCGATTTTTTGACTTTTTGAACAAAATTTGCTTTGTTTGAAGTTCCTAATCTTTTCAGATTGGTGCTGATCAGTTCGCCTTCGGCCTGAGATGTTCTGCGAGCCACGCGGCGATCCAAATCGCTTCAGTGAACACTTCGACGGCCGTTTATCTGACTGGCGAGGGGATTAAAGCCAGTCAATCGGCCGTTTTTCGACTTCCTTTGAAGTCAAAGGTCCGATTTTTGATTTTGAGCAGTTTTCATGGAATTAATATATAGAGAGGTTGGAAAAAAATATAACTTCACAAAAAATGTTAAAATTTTGAGGAAGTTAGTCAATTTGAGACAATAATAGGAAGCTTCCTGTTGAATTTTCAAACATTTTTTGATTTTGCACAAAATTCGGTATTTTTTCAACTCAGTAAAGCCAGAGGGATCCCTATAGGGATTAAAAATGCTCCCTGAAATTCAAAAAGTTCAGGTACTCTTTAGGGGAGTTCAGTGCCCCATACAGGGGATGTCAAACTGGAGGGAAATCTTTATTGTGCCCCTATAGGGGCCACTTTGGCGCTCCTAGGACGTTTTAACTTCACGCCGTTGCACAGAGTTGCTTACCGTAATCTGATTTTGGCGAAAATGAAGATTTCTTTTTGTTCTTCTTTTTTAAGTTCTTAATCCAAGACTCGTGGAAAAATACTCATTTATTCTTGACCTCCAGTTGATGCGCAGCCAATTAGGAAGCCGAAAAAAAAAATCGTTCACGTACACGTTACGTTTTCATACAGAATTCATTTTTTCCTCGTCGAAACTTTGCTTTTTCGAAGTATTCATTCCCAGGAGCATCTCCCGGTCCGCGTTATCCTGGAAAACGGAACCGTTTGGGTCCATCAAACCGGAAAAAGTCCGGCCAACACGAATCTCTTGAAGTTCTTCCACGACGGCTGCAAACACGTCCGACTCACGAAAATCCTCTGGATCGCCGTTTCAGCCGCCGCTAATTGCTGTAAGCCTTGCTTACCGTAATCTGAAAGCTCTTTGGAATTTTCCAGTCAAGACCAAAGATGACGTCATGGCGCTGGAGATGAAAAACTTGTTGAGCAGTTTGGCGGCCAATTTGGAGGCCTATTTTCATGCTTTTTGCAGGTTTTTCGAAACGAAAAATGATTTTTTAAGAAAGGTTACTGTATTTGAAGTGATTTTGTTTAGATAGGCCGGACTTTGAGAAAAAGATTTAATTCAAAAAGTGAAAAAAAAGTCAGAAAATTTTTTTGAATGAGGTTTTTCAGTATTTTATGTACAGTTTTCACCGTATTTTTTTGATATTTTTTTGAAAAAAAGTTTGTAATTTTTTTCAGTTTTTTTATATCGATATTTCGAAAAAAATGATGTCACGAAGTATTTTTTTAACAAGTTTAAAAGTTTTTAATGAATCTCATAATGAAATTCGTTGATTTTTTTCACGTTCAGAAAGCATTTTTTTGTTCAAAAAAATCAACGGAAAACTGAAGAAATTTGAATTTTTTTCGATAATTTTTTTGATCAAAACGTCCTTTTTCATTCAAAAAAATCGATAAAAAAACTGGAAATATGAATTTTTTTATAATTTTTTTACATCAAAACGCCCCTTTTCTTTAAGAAAACTCACCAAAAAGTTGGAAAAAAATTTGAATTTTTTTCGAAAAATTTTTTTGATCAGAACGCCCATTTCTATCCAAAAAAATCAACTAAAAAAACCTGTAGAATTTACATTTTTTTCTGACTGTTTTATTTCCATTGAATTAGTTGAAGATTTGTCCTTTTTCCAACGCAAAACTTTCTGAAAGAGTTTAAAAAATCTTATAAAAATCAATTTTGAGTGTCCTGAATGACGTCGCCAATGAACTGTGCCGAATCCGACATGATGCCAAAGTTTTGACGAAGTATCTGACGATTCTGACGTCTTCTAAGTGTGTGGAGCTTCTGAAGACGTGCGTCGAGGATTTCGCCGCCTGCGAGGCTTTCGTCCTCTTCGGAAACATCAATTTGAGGTTCGTGTGACAGGAAAAAGGAGAATATAGAAACTTCGCCCCCCCCCCGGCTCCAACAAGCCCCTCCTGTTATCATCCCCGGGCTCTAACAACCCCCCTGTTCTCTCTCCCCCGGGCTCTAACAAGCTTCCCCACTGTTCTTATCCCCGGGCTCAAACAACCCCCCTCCCACTGATTTCACCCCCCAGGCTCTAATGGCTATGAGCACCCCCCCTGTTCTCACCCTGGGGCTCTAACAAACTTCCCCCCACTGTTCTCACCCCCCGTCTCTGACAAGCCCCCTGTTCTCATCTCCGGGCTCTCACAAGCCCCCCAATCCCTATAGGGACCTTGAGCTTTAGGGGTGAAGGGTGAGACCCCGAGCCCCTTAAGGGATCATAGACCCTGAAAAACCGCTTATTTTTCCAGTTCCACCATGAAAAGCGAGCTCAGCAGGACCTCTCTACAGTACGAATGCGATTCGGTCAAAGTCCCGACTCAACTGTCCCAACTTTTCGGGAAACTCGTCGATTGGACCGCCTGGATTGGCGATTTTTCGAAGAAATTGGCGGATTCTCCGGATTCTGAGGTACGTTTTTTAGTTTTTATATTTTTTACGACACGTTTTTTGCTGTTTTTTTAAGTCAAGCGTTCTAAATATCAAATTTGATAGCTTCCTAATAGGTTAAAAAAAGCGCCACTTCGAAAAAAATATGAAATTTTCTATGAAAAAAATAATTTAGAGCTCGAATAATGAGTCGAAAATTGGGATAAATGTCATAGAAATTTGAAATTTTAGTATTTCCTCTGAAAAATGAACACTTTTTAGGTGAATTCGGTTGAAAATGGGTTGACTGAACTGGGAAATTTGAAAAATTAGTATTAAAAAAAATTATCGATAAGCGAAAATAATAAAAACGATATTAATAAAGTCTGAAAAACGGGTCTTATTCTACAAAAATGAGCTTTTTGCGTAAAAAACTGGTAATTTTGAAAGAAAAGTTGGTTGTGGAGCGGTTTTCAGTGGTAATTTTAATGTAAGTTGAATTTTATGGCTCGATTTTGTGTGTAGTTTGATCTTAGTAAGAAAGTGATGGAATAGGTCATTTTCCCGGGGACCAGGGCTCAAGAAAATCTCAAAAAGTTGAATAAAGATGATTTTGAAATGATTTTAGTGAGAAAATCCACTGTACGTTGAAGTTTTTGCCTCTATTATGTGTGTAGTTTGATCTTAGTAAGAAAATTATGATCTAGAAAGTTTTCCATGGGAAGAGGGGTGCAGAAATTTTTTGAAAAATTGGAAAAAGTCGATTAAATGCCATTTTCGGTGAGAAAATCCACTGTAAGTTGAATTTTATGGGTTGATTTTGGGTATAGTTTGTTCCTATTGAGAAAATGATGGATTAGAAAATGTTCCTTGGGAAGAGGGCTGCAGAAAATTTTCGAAAAATTAAATAAAATCGATTAAAAAAATGGAAGAGTGGAACTCGAAGCGATTTTTGGTGATAAAATTCACTGTAGTTTGATTTTTAAGGCTTTATTTTGTGTATAGTTTGCTCTCAGTAAGAAAATGATGAACTAGAAAAACTTCTTTGGAGTCAGGATTTGTAAAAGTCTCAAAAATTTGAAAGAAAAATGATTTTGAAACGATTTTTTGTGATAAAATCTACTGTAAGTTGAAGCTTGTGGTTTGATTTTGGGTGTAGTTTGATCCTAGTGAGAAATTAAGGAAAAAGTGATTATTTATAACATTCTCCTTGGCTTGAAGAGTTGATATCACTTGCATTTTTACCTTCCTAGGCTTGGGAAGACCTTGAAAATTCGAATAACTGATAAAAAAAAGAAAAAAAAATAGGTTTTCAAGCGATTCATAATGATGAAATCATCTTTAGAAAGCCTAGTCAATTTTTTTAAAATAATCTAAAGACATCAAATAATGAAAAAAAGATAGGTTAGAACCATTTTTCGGAGACCAGAACTTTGGAAAATCTGAAAAATTTGAATCAAGTTGATTAAAAAATGAAAAAAGTTGGAAGTTAAGCAATTTTTATCGAGAAAATCCACTGTACGTTGAAGTTTTTGCCTCTATTATGTGTGTAGTTTGATCTTAGTAAGAAAATTATGATCTAGAAAGTTTTCCATGCGAAGAGGGGTGCAGAAATTTTTTGAAAAGATGAATAAAATCGATAAAAAAACGAAAAAGTTGGCCTTGAAGCGATTTTTAGTGAGAAAACCTACTCTAAGTTGAATTTTTAAGGCTGGATTTTTGGGTATAGTTTGATCCTGGTAAGAAAAAAAGAAATAAATGATTGATTAGAACATTTTCCGTGGCCCGAATCGTTGTCATTCCTCGCATTTTCACGATTCAGAAAAAAAAAAGTTCGCCCTAATCTTTGATGATTTTCGCTCCTCCTAATATGATTTTGACCGATTATCGCCGTTTTTTTTCTTCTTCGGAGGCGATTTTCGATTCGCTAAACTAACATTTGGGTGTGGTGGTGGTGGCCATCGGGTTCTCATCCGCGATTTCGTCGAGGTCGGATCGCCGTGGTTCTCTGATTAATATTTAGAGATATCTGATGGCGATGAAATCTGTGTTGAAATGAGACTGATTTTTGAAACTTTCTGCGGTTTTTGAGGCTTTTTTTGACGGCTCAATGATGATTTTGAGAGCTTTTTTGTGGTTGAAGGAGATTTGGTCGTTCTGAAAGCTATTTCTGGCATCTGAAGGGTTTTCAGAGCTTTTTCCTTGATTTAAAAAAGATTTAGCTATTTTTGAGGCCATTTTCCGCATCTGCAAAGTGAATTTTGAGCTTTTCTTTGTTCTGAAAGGGTTCAGAGGTTTCGACAGTTCAATTTATCCAAAGATAGGCCTTTTTCTGTACCCTTAAAGGTGCTCCATTGATAAATAGGATTAATCAGGTTGGAGGCTATTTTTCTGCAGTAAATGTGCTCCGAGGCTAAAGTATCAATTTTAATGCTTTTTCCTTGTTCTGTAGAAATTTTGAGATTGTGGCAGTCTTATTTATCGAAAATCAGGTCTTTTATATTCCTTCAAAGGTGCTCCATTGATAAATTGGATAGATCAGGTTGGAGGCTATTTTTCTGCAGTAAATGTGCTCCAAGGCTAAATGATCAATTTTGAAGGAGTGTATCGAAAAATAGGCCTTTTTCTGTACCTTCAAATGTGCTCCATTGATAAATAGTTGGTAAGTTATTTAATGTGGGACAGAAGCTGGAGCTATTTCTTTGTAGTAATGGTGCTCCAAAGCTAAAAGATGATTTTTCAAGTATATTCAAAGTAGTGTACGGGAAATTAGGCCTTTTTCTGTACCCTTAAAGATGCTCCATTGATAATGATTGATAAGTTTTTTTTTGATGTGGAATGGATTAAGCTGGAAGCTATTTCTTTGGGGTAAATGTGCTCCAAAGCTAAACGATAATTTTTGAAAGATTTTCATGACAGTGTACAGAGATTTAGGCTTTTTTCTGTACCGTCAAAGGTGCTCCATTGATAAATAGGATAAATCAGGTTGGAGGCTATTTTTCTGCAGTAAATGTGCTTCAATGCTACATGATCAATTTCGAAGGAGTTTATCGAAAAATAGGCCTTTTTCTGTACCGTCAGAGGTGCTCCATTGATAAATGTTGATAAGCTATTTTAAGTGAGATAGAAGGCTGTTCGTTTGTAGTTATTGTGCTCCAAGGCTAAAGGATCAATTTTGAATTTTGAAGGTGTTTTTCGAAAATTAGGTCTTTTTCTGTACCGTCAAGGTGCTCCATTGATAAAATACCTCAACTTTTTGAAATACTCTGAATTCCTCAAAGGATATAAAAGTTTTCCGTTTACGACTCGACAGTCGATTCCGATCCGTCCCCACAAATCCTTCGTCGGTTGAGCTTTTTATGGTGTGGCCCTAAAATGCCCGGCATTTGAGCGATTCAGACCATTTTTTGACGTTCAACGCCGACTTTTACGGCTTCCTCTCAGTGGTACACCTGTCCTTCCGGCACTAAGCTCCCTGTCTCCCGTTTTTATGGACGCGGTTTCTGTTGCCTTGCCGACTTTTATGAGCCGAATTACAGGGGAAATGATGGCTGGAAATGGAGGTTGTGGAGATTAAACTACACTTTTTTGGGTCTTGCAGGGCTCCTGCGTCTTTAGAAATCCTAAGAAGGACTTTTCGAGACTTCTGGCTTTATTTGAGCTGAAAATATTGATTTTAGAGATCAGAATACATTTTTTCTTAATGGTTTTTCGGGTCTTGCAGGGCTCCTGCGCCTTTAAAAACCCAAAAAAGGCTTTTCGAGGCTTCTGACTTTATTTGAGGTGGAAATGGAAGTTGTGGAGATTAAACTACACTTTTTTGGGTCTTGCAGGGCTCCTGCGTCTTTAGAAATCCTAAGAAGGACTTTTCGAGACTTCTGGCTTTATTTGAGCTGAAAATATTGATTTTAGAGATCAGAATACATTTTTTCTTAATGGTTTTTCGGGTCTTGCAGGGCTCCTGCGCCTTTAAAAACCCAAAAAAGGCTTTTCGAGGCTTCTGACTTTATTTGAGGTGGAAATGGAAGTTGTGGAGATCAAACTATATTTTTTTTTTCGGTCTTTCCAGGCTTCTATCCCTTTAGGGACCCTAAAAAGTACTTTTCGAGACTTCTGGCTTTATTTGAGCTGAAAATATTGATTTTAGAGGTCAAAATACATTTTTTCTACATGGGTTTTTGGGCCTTGCAGGGCTCCTGCGCCTTTAAAAAAACCTGAAAAAGACTTTTCGAGACTTCTGGTGGTTGTGAAGATCAAACTACAAACTTTTCTGTTTCATTGAAGATCAATAGGATCAAACTACAGTTTTGAAGATCCTGAAATTTTCTCGGTGATTATTTCGAAAAAATTTAATTTTTAAAGGAGCAAGGATTGATTTGACAAAGGTCTCAAGGCGAAAAAAACCGTTAAAAAATTTGGAAATTTTTTTCAAGAAATCTGAGTGTAAGTTGAGACTGTAAAGATCAAACTATAGACTTTTTTCAATTGGATCAAACTATATATTTTTTTTTCGAATCGCATGATCTAACTGCAGGTGGAAGATTCTGAGATCATTTTTGAGAGAAGTTTGTTATTTTTTAAAGGAGCATAGGCTAAAGGTCTCGAGACGAAGAGCCATCTCGAGTATTTTTCGCGCCAGGTCGTCATTGAAAACCTTTGGAAAATATGGAAAATTTAAAAAAAAACGTAGAAGGGACTGGAATCTTCGTTAGCTTTTTTCAGTGGCTTTTAATTTTCCTTGATTTTTCCGAGCCAGTTAAAATTAATCTCTAGGTTCATTTTGGTTCTGAAACAACTTGAAAAAGAAGTTTTCTCTCTCGAAAAAAAGAAAAAGGTGCATCCAAAACTGTCTCGGTTCAAGGTCCCTTCTTCTCAAATTCCCCCTTTAAATTCGACGATTTTCTCCCCCGAAGTGTCAAAAACTCCGACAAGAATTCGTCTCGGACGAAAATAGAGATAAAAACCGAAGAGAAACTACTCGAAACAACCTTTTTCCTCCCATTTGAAAGTTCAAAAATCTCGGCGTAACTACCCGATTTTTGACCGATTCGAAATGGTTTCTCGTAAAAGTAAACGAGTTCTTTTTGGCCATTTTTTGGATTACTCATTTTATTGCAACGGCCTAGCGTAGTGATTTCAGCGAAAATGATGGTTTTTTGCAAAAAATTTGAAAGAAAAGGTCAAAAATTGCTCATTTTCAAACTTTCAGGAAAAAAATAAGAATTTCTTAATCAAAAGGATGTTTAAAACTTCGGTTTTTTTCA